CACCTGCATCAGCACCTTTCCAAAAGCTCTGCCCCTGGGGCAATTTTTATCCACGACACTCTGCTTTCTAGGCAGAGTGCTCTAGCTACCCACTGAGCTACCAGGGCAGCCAACGTGCATTGCGCAACTCACCACAACAATACAGTCTCATTCCAAGTAATTAATTCGTGTTGAGATGACACAAAGTTTTCATCCTCCGCAAGTGGCAGATCAGTGTGATTAGTTCATACAACCCCCTGGATCGGGCGCGCATTGTCTTCCTGAACTGATGTCAACTAGCTCTCCAAATCCGGTGCTGTTCGCCGTTGGCTTGCTTGAAATTGTCGACGGCTTGAAGGATTTTTTTGGCCCGTCCTATTGACCAGCAGACTGATTCTGCTAGTATTCTTATATTGTGTGGACAGTTTCTTGTATTGCGAGGTTGGAAGATAGTTATAAGTAGAGAGAGTACGATAGTAGAGAGATATAATAAGGTGTGTTTGTGTAAATAATGAGGGGAGAATATAATACATGATTGTTGTCCTCTGGAGATAACTAGGATTATTCTGGGTTGAGGAGAGGGATAGTGGCTGAATGTGACAATATCTTTTCCGACCATACAGATAAAAAGCTAGCGAAGTTAGTAATAACAATAAGAATTACCCGCTATGTATTAAGCACAGTGATCCCGTACACGACGTTCTTACTACACCCTTGCTAAATTATAGACATAATCTCGTATTGCAAACTTTTACGCTGAAATCTATGTTCTTATAAACTTAGAAAAAGAAGAAAGCAGGTCCAGAGACTTGATCATCACGTGTCGCACTCCCGCTACTTATTCCTCCCTTTCTACCATGCCACCTTCCTTTAGTATAAAATTTCTCACTTCTCGTCCGAAGTATTAAGCCCCTTTCTCACTTAAATCTACTTGCTCCATCCCATTTCTCCCTACATCTCTCCTTTAGTATCACCTAGAGAGAAGGAGCCACCTACCTATGAGTCCCATAGAACATGGAGAGAGCCATCCTAGTAATGGCGTCTGGATCTTTCATCACTGCTGCAAACCCATGCTAGAACGGAAAAATAGAAATTCGACTGTGACACTCGATTTTTCTTGCCCTACTCTCATGCCTCTCACGTTTGATTCATTTATCCACTAATAAGGTCAATCATGTGTAATGCATTACACATGATTGACCTTATATAGTGGATAAAATGTTAGAGTTACCGTGTAATTTAGTGAAATGTAGTACATGAATCTGAAACTACATGTGGTCGGGATGGTGAGTATAGCGGTAGGGTGTTTACTGCAGCATGCATGTACGCATGCATGTACGCATGCATGTACACGGCTGTTTGGGCAGCAGGTCATTTTCAAAACATCCCCCGAATAAAGGAAAATTTTGACAAACAGCCGAAGTTGTGTACCTCAAAAGCCTTTAGGTTCAACCATAAACTTTGCGTCTAAGATTATGCAGTGCACAACTACTTGCACTTGGCCTCGCTCCTTTGTCTTGCATAACCGTGATTCACAGTATTTTAAACCATAATTGATGTATGAAAGCAAGGTGGGTGCAAAACTAACACACAGCACTTTGAGAAGGAGCTGCCCTTGATGGGACTTTTATGCTTATCACTCTGCGCTATAGGCAGAGCTACCAGCAGGTAGGCGTCAAAATCTTAGACCGTACAAAACTTTACTCTGAGTGGAACACTGCAACATAGCGTGGATCAGAGTATTAGAATCAAGACACCAGACCCCATGCATCATACATAAGTGATGTACGAAAGCAAGGCAAAGTGCAAAGTGTATGTATGCGTGCATGCACCCAGCACACTCACTGCATTGTTCATAAGAGCCTTTAGACACAGCACGCAGACGTGTATGTCCATTGAACTCTCTTCGTAGGGAGCGGATGATGGGCTACTCTGTCTGAGTGAGTGGCGAGGAGATTCGAGGTAGCTGTTGACGTCGAGACTCTTTGTTTTTCTGATGGTTAGTCGCGAGGAAGATGATCCGCGTGACGGCGGACTGGTTAAGAAGTGGGGAGAGAGGGGGGAGGGAGGGAGAGAGAGGGGAGAGGGAAAGATCGAGGAAGAAGAAAGGGTGAAGAGGGAAGGGAAAAAGAGGGAGAGAAAGAGAAATAATGAAGAGAGGAGTGTGGCAGAGAGAGATAATGTGATAGCCCACATCAAACACGGGAAAAATGGGCTGCGAAGTTTCACACGCAAACACTGAGCTTGGGAGATGAGAGCATGTTACTAAACAAACAGACAGAGCCATACAAATCACGGCAAACACTAAAACCGACAGCATAGCTTGCCTCTAGAAGGAAATTCCTGCTGTTTGCCCAACGTGGACGGGCCAACAACATTCTAGTGGATCACGGAAGCTCCATTTTATGTGCCAGCATAACTCTTTGTATATAGTAGGCTTATAATTATAGTAGACCTTACTACAAATTGTCTATATATGACCTGTTGAAGCTGCGACCTGTGCATACTGTACAATGGATGAGTCATGTGAATGTCATGCACGTTCACCAGTAGAGTAAGTACATTGTGTCTAGACGTTGGGTTACAGTGGAACACCTCTAATCTGGACACAACTGGCACAGAAGAAAGTGTCCATATTAGTGAGGTGTCCTAAACTGCACGCAAGAGCTGTTTTGGGGAAAGAAAATGTGTCCTCATTTCAGGTGCGTCCTTAGAGAGGTGTCCTCATTTCAAGGGTGTCCTCATTTCAGTGGTGTCCTCATTTCAGGGGTGTCCTTAGTGAATAAACGCCCCTCCAACTCCATACATTCCCCCTTTCCTAACTCCTCAGAATATCGATCTCCATGCTCTGTCAGCGGTTACGTAACTGCATGCAAGAGCTGTTCTACGGGAAAGGGAAGGTGCCTATATAAGAAGAGGGGTGTTGTCCTCATGTCAGAGGGTGTTTTAGAGAGGGTTCAACCCTACTCGTAGACAGTGCGTCTCATAAATATTAACCCACATTTCCCACTGTGAATAATCATAGATAGTTGCTGAGTACATAGTATGTTATAGTACTATGGTTAACATGACACTCTGGCTTTCTATATATGAGGTATATACACCCATACAATGTGCCATGAGACAGCGAAACATTAATACAGGGGTAAAAACCATTTTGTGGTCACGAGCCTATACGGGGTTGGATTTCCCCACACTCACGGGAGTTGCATTTCGGCCTGGCAGCGGTAGCTCATGTATTTCACCAGCTCCTTTAGTCCTCCGTTTTCTTCACTCAGAAAATCCTGCACCCACCTGTACACCACATTGCACACACACACACACACACACACACACACACGCAATGAGAAATGAAGCCAGCATCTCCTACACATTAGATGTAAGGTGTTGTATGCAATGACTATGTAAGGGATGGCAATTGGCTCCCACAGCACGGCATACATCTGCAATTAATTATTGGCAGTGAATAGAAGGGACGGCCTCAAAGCATTGGAGACTGCAAAGCCATCAAATACACAACACAAGGGCCAGACTTATCAGCTAGGTGTATAAATGTATATAATACTGCATACATCACTATTATTCCAAGTATTACGAAATTTGCTCCAAAATCAACTGAATACAAAGCAGTGGTTTGAGTATTAAAGCTAGTTATACGGCGAAATTGGGTCTAAATTTATATAGCCCTCTTGTACCGACACATTTCCTCAAAAACTCACACAATGTTGTTAGTTCTGAGTGAAATCTCGAGGCTCTGTAGACTCTGTAGGATCGCGGGATCGTTTGCTCTCTTCCTGGCCTTTCGCGGGCCGTCCGCATCCATCACGTAGCTCAGCTTGCTCAGGTACTCACTCGGAGGGTGTTCGTACCTCCGCCGAGTGTTGTCGCGCACCATCTGCCACTTTTTGTCGTCGGAACTTTGCAGGACGGCCTGTTTTTTGTCGCCTGGAAGATCCATCATGTCCTGAAATAAGAGTCGCAAAGATTTTTAGGACATAACTGGTCGAAAGATGCCAAATGTTTTTATATTATATTCCAGAAAAATGAAGTTAGTTGTAATCAGATTACAGATTAATTGTGGGAATTTTCAAATCTACTCTGAAATAAGGAAGCTGGAATACCTTCTTTTCGTGAAGATACATACAGAATTTTGTAGTAATTTTGAAGGTAATTTATTCTAATCTGAAATGGAGGAAGCTGGAATGCCAATCATTCCTTCTTTTTCGTGAACACACAAGTGGTACATACAGATGTCATACATTATTGCCCCGAAAGACAGAGAAACTAATAGCATTAAAATAGCATTCCTCCTGTTGTGTGGGGCACTCTAAATAGAATCCTCTCACCAGCTGGGTTGGAACCGCACTAGTGTAGCTCAACGCCGCTTAACGTCAATAACAGCAGCTCTCTTCCAAGGAAACCTCAATCAAATACACAAATCGCTCTAAGTGCTGCCCCAAAACAAGATGATGTCGTGTTTATTTGCAAACCCAGGCCAGTGGATTTGCCAAATGTTTCACAAACGGTCTGTAACTAACAGATATGCTCCCGAAATTCCAGAAAGCAGGAAGCAAGTGTGTGAGAGAGTAGAGAGGGAAAACTGTTTTCTATTGCCGTCTCTTTCACTATGACTGTTTGCAACAGCAAGTGTATATATCATACTATAGCCACAATCTGTACTCCACCAAAATGCTCTGTGCGAAGGCAAGGGATCTCCATACAACACCAACAGAGAGTATACTATAACAATACGTATCATGCTCACGGCTGAGTATGGTATAATGCAGTCCCGGGTATTGTAAACCGCCACCAAAAGTAAGTCTCTCGTGCTGTGGCATTGTGTTGAAAAGGGACCGATGTTGTTTGTGTGAGACATACTTCATGGTGGAGAACACAATGAAACCTGTGTGAATCAGGTAGCAAAAAAAGAGTATTGCTTGACCCAAAGATTTTGTGGATGGTTCTGTCAAATATTAAATTTCTCCCTTGAACTTATCCTAAAGTGTCTAGGTATTATGGCAGAGGAGGTAGCTAATATGTACTTCCTTCAAAGCAAGCCACAGACACTTTGAGCCGTAAGAAGTGCAAATTGACCAAAGAATACCCACATATCTACTGCTGCCTGCAATTAACTAGCAAAGGGGAGGTATTTAGCATCCCCCTGTTGAGATTAGCTACATTCCTTTCTTGAAGAAGTTCGGTATACCAGAAGTTCAGGATTCATGCTATCAGTGTCAGCGTTTATGCCCCTTACAATACTTCAAAGTAGCACATACACTTATATACTTGTTAAGCCTTTTTACCACATGCTAGTCATTGCAGAGAGGGCAAGTAAATGGCCTGTGTAACATAAACTACAGAAAATTGTTCATTCTCGACATACTTTTTGTCCAGACTGCATCTGATTCAGTGTTAGCAAACAAAAGACCGACAGCAAGACAAAGTACTGCACGTTGTGTATATTATATGCTACACATCAGTGCCATTGTACTGTGCCCTATGCAGTGCACACACATTCATCCAATCAACTGTCAATGGAGCACAACAGTGGGTCGCTAATTTAGGGAATTCGTGAATGGTAATTATCCTCTGGAGGTTAATAGTCACACTCATTTTAGAGAAGATACTGAACAATATTCTGTAATTTGTATTGGAGCATGGACTCTGAAAATTGGTTCAACTCTGAAAGCAAGCCCTGGAGAATTTACCCGGGGCTAAAAACACCAGCAAAGACACACAGCATTTTCTATATACAGCCAGGTGTGATAAATGACCAGGTATACATATATATACTCCAGCTTCTTACTCTGCATGCACAGTGTATTAGCTATAGCTACAGCATCGGTTGGTGTAGCATCGGTTGGTGTAGCATCGGTTGGTGTAACGTGATATTGTGAGGGAGTGCAATGCAATTTCTAACTCTCCATATCGAGATTTGTCATCCTATGAAACAGATAAATTGAATTGCAATGCTGGATTATTGGCCGGGTTTTCTGGCTCCTGCTGACGGTAATACTAACAGGCGGATAGTACACATAATTATCACTTGCAAGAGGTATATACATTTCGCCACGATGTCGCAGCGTAGCAAAGGCTTTGGCTAGAGACACTACTTACTGTAGCTAGCAAAATTGTTGTAATGCTTCGTGCGGGGTTGAATAAGGACCTACCACAAGTCGGCTGAATCTGGTCTCCATCTCCTCTTTGGATATCATTTCTTCAGCCGACGAGTCGCGGGAATCCCGCGAAGAGTCCCTCCGTCGCGATCGAGCTCGCGGGCCGCCGCCGTTGAACAACGTCCCCGCGGCCCCGCCGCCGTGGCCGTTGTAGCTGTGCGTCTGATGATGATGGTGTAAGTGGAAGTTCCCCATCACCGATTTCTCGCTCTCCTTTCTTCGAAGGACCAACGGCGTCAGCTCTAGAGCTACAGGTGTTTCTGACGGGTTGTTGTATAGCCTGCGGGATCGGATACGCATACGCGTGCGCGAGGACACTTACGCGCATGTGTGCGCCTGCACTGCGCTTGCGCAAAACCCGCGAGAACTGTTGTAAGAAAAAATACATGTATATTATGGGAAATGAGGACACATAGGACTATCATGCAGTAGTTCAAGCATAAAATTAGCTATAACACAAAACCTTTCCGGCTAATTCAGTGAAAAAAGGAATCTATCCATAAGTGAGTTAATAAGTCAGTTCAAAGTTCAGTTTCTGATGACGCCTTCTTGAGAGCCTCAGTTTTTTCAGGAGCAACTTCTTCTGTCGGTGGCTGAGGCTGTGGCACAGAAACACAATATTATGATCAACTCAGTCGTATTAGAGGTGGGCAAAGGTTCAAAATTTAGATTGTCATAATACCAAGGCCACCGCTTGTTTTGCTAATGTTATGGAGAGATTTAAAAAGAACTAAGCACAAAATTTGTCACACGACTGGATTCGAACCGGTTTCTCGTTGAGCTCAGTAGCTTCATCTACTGGTGGTTCATCTGGTTTTGAATCCAGTGAGGCAGGCTCTGTGGTGCTTGTCTTGGCGGCAGCAGCAGGCCCAGTCGAGGAAGAGGCTACCCGGGTCGACTGACTCCTCTGCAGTTCCTGCTTCTTGGCAAACTCCTCCTTATCCCTCCGCTTGAAGAACCCCAACTGCAGAGGAGAAGGGGTTAAAGATTAAATGCCCTTATCCCAATTACAAATGCCAGATCTTTTGCTTGCTCTCAGCCATACAGTGGAACCCCTCTCTAAAGACACCCCTGAAAATAGGACACCTCTCTAATAAGGACACATTCTCTTTCCCCAAGGACAGTTCTTGCGTGCAATTTAACCCCTCAAATAAGGACACCTCACTGCTATATGGACACTTTCTTCTGTCCCACTGGTGGAGGGGGTACCCCTGGATCGATCACTCAAAAACTATGCCCAGAAGTGGCTCACCGCATAGAGGAGGATAATGATGCCAACAAGAATAAAGACAGTGATGATGGCAGATATGACAGTAACTGCAATGACCCAAGCCGGCACTTCTTCGCTGCTGCTTTTTTGCGGCTCCAGAACCAACAGTCTGTTCTGTAGGGAGAGGAGAAATTCAGATGGAAGAGGGTTAAAACTGTAACTCTATGCGTAGAGAAATGTCTTCCTCTCTCGTAATGAACCACACTGGTGTATATAAGGAATTACCATTGACACAGTAATTAAGATACAGTATCGCGTGAAATAATATGCCCGTCTGTATAGCAAACAACAATAAACTCTCCATTAACAAAGGGTCGCTGTTTATTATTACTATTTAAGTGTGTTATGGCTATTTGAAGGGAAGTAATTAAATCCGTAGACTCACTGACGTCCTGCTCGATGGTGGACCATCGACAAAAGAAGTGGTGATGCTGAAATTCGCATGCATGTATAATTCAAAGTTTCCAGTTTGGGTCTGCACGGAAAAATAAGAGAGAGCAGGGAAAGGTGAAAAAAATGGAAGGTGTGAGGTATTAAATGGAAATAATTTGAAAACTTGCTCGAAAAAATTTTTTAAAAAGGAAGGGAGAAAGGCAAGATAGTGAAAAAAATTTAAAGCTTACTCGGAAGAAGCGGTTGTCGACGTAGCTGAGAACGAGGATGGAGATGGTTGTGGAAGAGAAGTCGGAAATGTTGCAGACAACAGCTGTGCACAACTCTGGGTCCCTGCTGCAGTTCACCATCTGAGAGAGAGAGAGAGAGAGAAGAAAATTATTTTAATACATGCATGAAGCACCTAGCCCCTTTACCCCTTACCCCTGTAATCTCTTGTCTTTTCTTCAGGCCTCCTTCCTCCTCTTCTTCCTCCTCGCTTCCCATGACACTTCTCCATAATCTCTCAGCCATACTCCTATGTACATTGGACAATGGTAAATAGACCCTATCAAGTACCTTGCCTTTCTACCTCGCTACCAAGTTGTTGAGACATACATGTAACAGTTTATTGGTGGAAAAAGAACCTTTCATTTAACATGCTGATTTTACAGTGGGACTGAGACCAATGAATACCACAGAATAAAATAGTGAGGCGTACTTATTTCAGGGGCTAAATCACGAAAAGCTGTTCACTAGAGAGGTGTACCCAGTTCAGAGGTGTACCCAGTTCAGAGGTGTACCCAGTTCAGAGGTGTACCCAGTTTAGAGGTGTCCTATGTCACAGAATAAAATAGTGAGGTGTACTTATTTCAGGGGTTAAATCACGAAAAGCTGTTCACTAGAGAGGTGTGCCCAGTTCAGAGGTGTACCCAGTTTAGAGGTGTCCTATGTCACAGAATAGTGAGGCGTACTTATTTCAGGGGTCAAATCACGAAAAGCTGTTCACTAGAGAGGTGTGCCCAGTTCAGAGGTGTACCCAGTTTAGAGGTGTCCTATGTCACAGAATAGTGAGGCGTACTTATTTCAGGGGTCAAATCACGAAAAGCTGTTCACTAGAGAGGTGTGCCCAGTTCAGAGGTGTACCCAGTTTAGAGGTGTCCTATGTCACAGAATAGTGAGGCGTACTTATTTCAGGGGTCAAATCACGAAAAGCTGTTCACTAGAGAGGTGTGCCCAGTTTAGAGGTGTCCTATGTCACAGAATGAAATAGTGAGGTGTACTTATTTCAGGGGTTAAATCACGAAAAGCTGTTCACTAGAGAGTTGTCCCCAGTTCAGAGGTGTCCTTAGAGAACGGTTCTAAGAGATGGCGCACAAAACCTCTAAAAGGTGTGTTTTGTGGAGTACATATACCGTCTTCTTCTTCTCCGTTGCTGGTTTTGGCTGTTCAAGTTGAGCCCGTCGGGATCAAGATCAGAACAGACCACCGACATAGGAACTCTTGTCTGCAGAATAATATAACAGTATTGGGTATAAATACACGAGAGAGGTCTGGTAAATTTTACGGGAAATCTTTCAGTGGGGAATATTTTTGTGGTTTTTGAGCGTGAAAATTTGTAGGCGGGGAACTAAATTTCACATGCAACAGCTAAAAACTAAACCCCAAAATATCTCCCCCCACTGAAAGTTTCAACCTATAATGCGACAGGGGGGGTTTAAACTTAACCCCTTTCTCACTGTGTCAGGGTAGAGATAGTAGAAATTACTCGTGCGGTCCGTCTTCCCAGGGATCAGAATGACCACCTGTGACTCGGGGATTGTGGACGGCCCCGAGTTGGATAGCGTGACCTTTGTGGTGATGACCGGTTTTAGCTCGTTCGTCTAGAGAAATGGAAGAGATAAGAAAATTAGCTTAGTCGGTTTAGGAGGCGAAAGATACGAATAGGGGCGCCGAGATTATAAGACGAGATACAAGAATAGGGCAAACAAAAATCAGTCTAAGAAAGAAAAAAGAAAGACAATTGTTTTTCAAACTCACGTCTTCGTATTGCGTTGAATTCGGGTTAACACTCCTACAACAAAATAATATCAGTGGTAAAGTATAGTTCATTACTTAATTAATCTGAGGTAACCGGGTAGAAAATATTTCTGTGCCAGCACTTACATTACACATACTATCACTAGTACTTAGTATATATAGGGATGGGCACGGTACCTAGCATCATAGGATGTATGGGGCTTTGATAGGGAGCTTTGTTCATTTTCTTATTCTTCTCCTTCTCCTTCTTCTACTTCTATTATTACTAAGTATGGTAGTACTTACAGTATATTTTGGGGTGGGCATATGGTACCTAGCACGGTATATACCTATGTATGTAGCATCATAGGATGTATGGGGCTATGATATAGTATGATATACAGGGCTATAAGAAGGTTAATAAAGAGCTTACAGTTCAGTGATCCTGACGTTGGCCATAGCTGAAACAGAAAGATTGAGGCGGGCAATGTTGTTGGAGTCGTCTGCAATGTTGTCGTCTTCGTTTACGATTGTGAAAATGGCGGAACAGTTTTCGACGCAGTCCCGGCCGGTAACCTCGTCTGAGACCGCAATGATGATTTCAACATTAAATTTCTGAAGAGAAAGAAGATCAAAATCACTTATAAAAAAAAAGGGTCTCTTAGCTAAAATTATTATCACTAGCTATTGAGGATATATAGGGTGCGGTGTAAACTTAGTCTACCAACATTTGTATAATTATACTTTACTTATACAGTCATGGATTGAGAATATGGGGTACAGTATGAAACTTGTAATCCATCATAGGGTGAAAGTATGGAACTTATTCTACTCCATCGTAATAGTATAGTAGCTATAGAGTGCAGTATGAAACTTACTCCATCATAGTTTGAGAATATAGGGCGAACTGCACAGATATATGTGTCATCTTCCACGTTAAGTTGGCACTGTGATGTAGCCTGTGCCTGCAAATAAGGTGGTGGAACCTCTGATAAGGACCCTCCGAGATAGGGACGACCTCTCTACAAAGGACACTTGTTTCAACCCCATGCTAATACTTTAGTGTATTATTTGACCTCCGAGATAGGGACGACCTCTCTACAAAGGACACTTGTTTCAACCCCATGCTAATACTTTAGTGTATTATTTGACCTCCGAGATAGGGACGACCTCTCTACAAAGGACACTTGTTTCAACCCCATGCTAATACTTTAGTGTATTATTTGACCTCCGAGATAGGGACGACCTCTCTACAAAGGACACTTGTTTCAACCCCATGCTAATACTTTAGTGTATTATTTGACCTCCGAGATAGGGACGACCTCTCTACAAAGGACACTTGTTTCAACCCCATGCTAATACTTTAGTGTATTATTTGACCTCCGAGATAGGGACGACCTCTCTACAAAGGACACTTGTTTCAACCCCATGCTAATACTTTTGTGTATTATTTGACCTCCGAGATAGGGACGGCCTCTCTACAAGGGACACTTGTTTCAACCCCATGTTAATACTTTTTGACCTCCGAGATAGGCATGACCATTACATTGCCAGATTTTATCTTACCAGACATACATACATAATCTTAGATTGCCAGAGATAAAAAGATACTGTTGCCAGAGATACATACATAATCTTAGATTGCCACAGATAAAGATACTGTTGCCAGAGATACATATATAATCTTAGATTGCCAGAGATAAAAAGATACTGTTGCCAGAGATACATACATAATCTTAGATTGCCAGAGATAAAAAGATACTGTTGCCAGAGATACATACATAATCTTAGATTGCCAGAGATAAAAAGATACTGTTGCCAGAGATACATACATAATCTTAGATTGCCAGAGATAAAAAGATACTGTTGCCAGAGATACATACATAATCTTAGATTGCCAGAGATAAAAAGATACTGTTGCCAGAGATACATACATAATCTTAGATTGCCAGAGATAAAAAGATACTGTTGCCAGAGATACATAATCTTACGGTGCCAGTGGTGTCTTGAATACTCTGAGGAGCTCCAAGCAGATTCGGAGGCAGCGAAAGAAAAAGTCGCGAATTGACAGCGTCTTCTGTGAGCGTTTGATACTCCAGCAGAACCTCGATGAAACTGACCCTCCCAGCAACTATCTCTTCCAATTCTGTCGCCATTTTCTTGGAATCACTGACAAAAACAACGAACACACACGAGGCGAGGATTTCATATTTTGCAGACACGAGAATGATAAACCAACCATCCCTAACACTTATTGTTGGAGTGTGGAATAGCAAAACTATCTCGCTGACCCTCGTCTCTACTTTATTTCGCTGTCACTTCACCCCCTCACCCCACCCCCCAAACAAGGGATCGATTTTGCAATTTTTACAGCTACATAGATAAACGAAATGACAAACCAACCACCCCTAACACTTTGACTATTGTTGGAGTGTGGAATAGCAACACTATCTCGCTGACCCACTCAATTTTACTGTCCTCCCACCCCTCCTACTACCTCCCTAAATAAGTAGGCACTTGAAAACACAAAATGACGACAAACCAACCATCCCTAATATTTTGTACCACAGAAGCCCTAGTGTAACCTATATACCATAGTACAACACCACTCACAGGTATCTGACTCCGCTGATGTTCAGTTCCAGCTGAGGTCTGCACATATCTTGATTTTCACAGCCAGTAAGAGATAGCTAGAGGGAGAGAGAAGAGGAAGGAAAAGGTAAAATTAAAGGTATGGTATTAATTGCCTGACAACCTTAAAAAGGTGGCTAAATTTGGGAGAGAGATTAAAAAAATAGGGGTTAAGGTCTAGTACACTGGCAACTGAGAGATATAGGTTAGGGGTTAAACTGGCAACTGAGAGATATAGGTTAGGGGTTAAACTGGCAACTGAGAGATAAAGGTTAGGGGTTAAACTGGCAACTGAGAGATAAAGGTTAGGGGTTAAACTGGCAACTGAGAGATATAGGTTAGGGGTTAAACTGGCAACTGAGAGATATAGGTTAGGGGTTAAACTGGCAACTGAGAGATAAAGGTTAGGGGTTAAACTGGCAACTGAGAGATAAAGGTTAGGGGTTAAACTGGCAACTGAGAGATAAAGGTTAGGGGTTAAACTGGCAACTGAGAGATAAAGGTTAGGGGTTAAGACCTAGTACACTGGCGTAACACAAGTTAAAGAGGAGGAAGGAAGGGGAAGGTATATAATGTACCGTTTGCTCCCGGTTGTTTTGAGGAAGAACCTCCAGCAGAGGGTAATCTCTCAGGTCAATTATGTCTTGGAACCCGTCCACTATGTGATTGATGGGCGTGACCCTCTCAACTCTTGAAACTGACACCTCTACTGCCAGAGGCCTTCTTCTGTCTATCTTCTCCACAGCCTATAAGATATTATATGCCTATCATAGCCCCATACATCTAGTACGATGCTAGGTATGTACCATGCCCATCCCTATATACCAAGTACTACCGTACTTAGTGATAATAGAAGAAGAAGAAGAAGATGAACAGAACTCCCTATCATAGCCCCATAGTATGATGCTATATATACCATGCCCATCCCTATATACTGTAAGTACTACTGTACTTAGTGATACGTCAGCAAAGGAATACAATGCGAGTAAAAGATTTCAGTGGTTTTATGGTGAAGATAACGTGGTATACCACACACGCTTTTCATTATAGGTTGAATGTTGTATAAGTACCTCCAATAACTAGAAAACCAAGAGAGAAACATATCCAAAATGGTAGATTGTACGTACCTCGACATAGACAGTAACGGGTTCTGTGGTTGGAGTGTCGGTTGCACTGAAGTTCAGAAATCCTTCAAAAACGTCAGTTCTGTTTTTGTCCGAGTCCAGAAAGAAGAGACGGCTTCCTGCTGACACAGCATTTTCTCTCACCGCCACTTTTGTATCTGAGAAAGGAGGAGGAGGAGGAGGTGGAGGAGGAATAAATGAAGATGGATGACAGAGATGGAGAGGAGAGAAGGCAGAGAGAAAGGAGAGAAAAGGAGAGAGAGAGGATGAGTGAGAAAGAGGGAGAGAATGGCGACGTACCAAGAAGACCATCCAGACCACGTCCAGAGTAACTAGCATTAATCTCCAGTGTAAAACTGAGAGGAAGAGAGAGCAGCACATCATAACTGAACACCTTGCAACACACGTGCACACATTTAGTACATAGAAATATTACTTTGGTTTCTAGCACCAAATCCATGCACCCACTCACTGTACTGTACCAACTTCAACGTTCACAAAACCTTTTTGCCTTTTGAGTGATTTAACTGGAAGTGTTACTACGGACGTTTTATCTTATGAATCCTGTACATTCGGCTCACCAGGCAAAGCTGCCAAAGTCAGTGGCGCAGGTACTCGTGTCTCTGTAGTCGAATAGTTCATTAGGAATAGTGGAGAGTGAGAGAGAGACATTGGCAATGGAGTGAGTTCTGTGGATGAGGGAGAGGGGAGAGGGAGAGAGGGAACGAAGGTAATGTTTTAGGCTAGATTCACAAATGCAGTATATATGTGTGTCACAATGGCTAAAAATCTGACGTGCTGCGTCACAAGGATAGAAACCATATCCACCACTGCGACGCGGAACGCCAGCCAGCGCAATGATGGAATAATCGTGAACCCTGCCTACCGTAGGACTATAACAGTTTGCTGGATGTAGTCTCCGATCACGAGATCTGTGGGACAAAAGAACGGATAGTAATCGATCTGATATTATTGATCTGTGTATATTTATCTGCCCTGGGTGCGGGGCTCGAACCCGCGACACTTCCAGGGCAGACAGGACTCAAAGTGGTTTACTAACAAACGAAAAGGCAAAGCTGGCAAGTTGTTGAAGGGGCATATATAATATGAGACAGAATACTGTACTATATACCAAACATAGCACTAAAGAAAAGCCAGTTATACTACGTATGTATGTATATATGTATGTATGTATGTATGTATGTATGTATATATGTATGTTTGTATGTATGTATATATGTATGTATGTATGATATATGTATGTATATATGTATGTATGTATGTATGTATATGTATGTATGTATGTATGTAGTGAAGGTGAAACCACACGACAATTCTACGAAGTATAGAAAACACTGCACATACCATTGTAGGCGTTAGCGTCCACGTCAACTCCACTGGAGAGAGAGTATCCAAAGCTCTTCAAAACTCTGCTCTCGTCAAAGCCGAGGCGACTGGAGATGTCTGCAGCTGTAATCTCGTCCTCGGGAGTGGTGACAATGACACTCTCTCCTGAGCCCAGGTAGATGTAGACCGTCCCTTCTGCCCCTCCTCCTCCTCCTCGGGACTCAAACGGAGCACTCACTGCTATATCTGTACAATACACCAGAGTAATACAACACCACTAGCTTCACTAACACTACTTCATTGTACAGTGGAACTCTTCTAATCCATACACCAGTCGGACAGATGGAAGTGCCAGTATTAAGGATTCATTTCAACCTCCTCTCATACGGTCCCTACCAAGATTGTTAATTAAGCCCCCATTCTCTAAAAAAATCCCCAGCTAGCTAACTGGCAGTAGTCAGTAGTCAAACTGACTAGAGTCGACCTAAGCTGCTCACCTTCAAACCCGTCACTGTTGATGTCTCCCAGATTGACAATGGCTGAGCCATACCTTCCTTTACTCCCTGTCCCAGGTATCACTATAGGATTATCAGTATCCAGTGTCCCCTATACACACACATACAGAGAGTCTGTCATTAGCTCTGCTCCTGACATTTACAGTTTGATCATCTTACGTTGTTTTTGTAGATAAAGATACGTCCCTTTTCGATCTTATCAGGAGTGCTGAAAAGAGGGGCTCCCACTATTATCTCATCGAAAACTGAAAGAGAACACGTTCATTAATGCACACCTACACCAGGAAACGACCCAAGAAAGGAGTACAAGGAAAGGTGTGTAGTACCAACTGAGGTGAGAGTGTTGAGATGAAAGGAGAGACATGGACACTCACCCGTCTCCATTGAGGTCTGCAGTGGCCACTGACCAGCCAAAGTACTCTCCCATCTGCCACAGACAAGGAGCACCATTACTTACTAACAGTGGCTGAATTCTGTTGAATCTACCCCACCTGATCGTGTGTGCAGCTAACATTTCAGTCTACAACTCTCCCGATTAGCTCAGTCGGTATTGCAAGCCCGTGATTTTATAAATGCGAGGTCCATGGCTTAAAGAAGTCCTCTCTCTCCCTCTTTCATCTTCCTTCCTATTTCTCCCTCCCTCCCTCCCCTTCCCTCTCTCTCTCTCCCTCCCTCTTTTCATACCTGTTCTCCCAAAACTGTAGCTTCAATCATTCCAGTTTCAATACTGAACACTTCAACCTAAAAAAATCTTTAAAACCACATTTCACAATTTTCATTCCTTACAGATCCTTTATAGACGTTCTTTTTTGGGAGGGAATAAATAAGATCTGAAAAAATTTGCATAAATTTTTTACATTTTTTTATAGACTTTACCTTCTTCTACAGAGCCAAATATTCGCCCAAGAGTAACAGCTGTACCTGAGAAAAATTGCAGAGTTTAAAATTTTACCCCATCAAAATTTTAGTAGTCCCAATAAAAATACAGAGTCGTACAAGCAAAAAAACTTACCAGTGTACCATAACTGTTGCATGGTGTTGGCCTTTGGTATTAGGTTGAAATTAGAGGATACCAAGTTGAGAGGTAAATTGTCTGCTATTTCTGGCTTCTGTGAGGTTCACACTGAATACAGCACCTGAGTATACAAGTAAATTTAAAAAGTCTGCGAATTGAAAATCAGCTTTCACCGTAGCACACAGGCAAAAGTGAAAGTTGAGACTTGATTTCATCACTTACCAGAACTTTCGCCATATGGTGGTCCCCCAAGGAATACCTGGACATCTGTGCTCTAGAAAAAAAGAAATAAGCCTGCAAAACCTGTTTCAATGAAACGAATATTCGAATATTCGAAACACACAAATATATTAGGAAAATTGGACAATAACTGTAGTTTGGTTTACCCCCTGTTTTTCCTGAAGGGAAGCAGCTGTTCCAGCCATACAGTAGGACTGACCCACCAACGTCTGAGAACTATCCATATCTGTAACAATGACATCACAACGACATCATCAACATTAAATATTTGTCAAGCATGATTTTTCATAGATTCTCAATTGAGTAAAAATAAGTTTTCCCGCCGTGTTAAAATTGGGTTGCAAAAGTTTTGAATCCGTGAACCGTGACTACATATATACGTACATACAGATTTACAAAATATATGGTGTTTCCCTTACCACAAGGACGCAGCAGTTTAAAATTCTCCATATTTCTGTCGGCGATGAAACAGCGGCCGTGGGCTCTGGTCTTGTCAAATGGCCCGTTGAAATAGTCCTCCGTGTTAAGACTTATCCACCTCGGTGCACATGCCTGCATCGACGTACGGCGACCGTACCAAAACAGTACTAAAAACAGTACTGCGATGTAAGGGCTAAATTTAGAAACGACATTATGTTGTTGCACCATGAGGGCCACCAGCAAAGCATACATTATAAAGGCAATAGCAGCATAATGCGACAAAGTGTCATCTACCATGATGTGTTTTCCTGTGCTGACAATTGTGGCTCCCATGAACTGGCCAGACTTCTGTTCGTTTTGAACAATCAACCCCATGTTTGCCACAAAGGGATCCGGCCCGTTGGAATTGCCTGTTTGATGGGAGGGAGAGAGAAGAGAAGGAGTAAAACAGGGAGAATGACACACAGGTTAGGAGACAGGGAGACAGGGAGACAGGTTAGGAGACAGGGAGACAGATAGACAGACACATGCATGCTCAATCATACACACACACACACACACACACACACACACACAAGAGCAGGACACATGGATGTGTTTGTACTAGTGAGAGACTGTGTAACTACAATGTGATAGGCTAGGGCTACATAAGCGCAAAACACTGAAGCAGAAGTGGGTACCCTGGTAAATCTAAAAAATACACGTAATTTTGACCACTGAGCTGCCGCGTGTAGTGAAGTTGACAAAAGTCTCCCAGCCTCTGGTCTCATTGTGTTTGTGTGTTTGGTCACTTTCCTTTCTCCCCCTTTCCCTCCCTTTCTCCCCGATCACCCCCACAAACACACGCACACACGAAAGAGAAGGAGACAGGGAGACAGATAGACAGACACATGCATGCTCAATCATGTACACACACAAACACACATGCACACGCGAATGACAGAGAGAAATGAGAGATCAAGGGAGAATAAGGACGACACTGACTATACAAACCTTCGTAGTCGAAGAGCCTAATATCGTTCCCAGACCCTGTGCCCGTCAGCGCTTTGCAACAATTCATATTACTAGTGCAGCCGATGTTACAGACGTAGACCAGTCCGGTGTTGTTTAGTGGATCCTCTGTAATTGCATCATTGAATTCCACTCCTCCGGGAAACGTACCGTTTGGAGCTCCAACTATTATCCTGATGAGAGAGAGCGAGAGAGAGAGCGAAAGAGAGTGTGCGTGTGAGGGGGGGGGGAGGAAAGTATGTATATGATCACATTGAGCATTGGTGCTAAGGTTTAACCGAATATTATAGCAAATATAGCCCACCTGTAGTTGTCCACATTACGTAATTTTTTTATATGTATCTATGTATAGACAGCAATGTCATTCCACCCTAACGTAATAGAAGCAAACTGCTGATATTTTTCACTCCCATTTGACCACTGAAAATGCTTTGAACTGAGTTCTATTACGCAGACCATTGGCTAGTGAAAGGGAAGGTGGGGGTGGTTTTGAGTGAATGTTTACATAGCGTATTGCCTAGTGCTAATGAGCCTGCCATGCATACTACACAAACCCACCTACTGGAGGCGTATATAAGTAGTCCTAAGCACACACATGGTAACATTCAGTTTACTATCCACACTCACACTCACACCACACTTTGCCCATAATGTATGTATGTATGTACATACTTCTATCTGCATTGCCGTTCAACCACGATTTTAATTGCCACACAAATGTGAACAAATTGCCTGTGGTGATGGCGGGCGTATACAGTTGTAATTATACAGGTGTGGTTTGATGGATAGGTATATAAGTGTGGCAGCCCTGTGTATTGCTGATAAAGTACCACCCACACGTTGGTTCACATTCACTCCGACATATTTACACAATGCTCGGCTTTCAGTGAAGGGCTATAATATATATACACGTATACCCACGATCCATTGGTACTGCATATATATATATACACGTCTACAAGATAATCACTGCTATTTGCTGTTGACTAAGCAAAAACGTGATGTTTATGTTTTCCCATCTACAGAGGCAAAGTGTAGCTGTATTCGCGTCATGTATAGTGGGACAAGAACAACACAACAAGAATAACGTTTATGGTAGTTAGAACAATCAACAACCATGCAACTTTACCAAGAGAAAAATGGACGTACATGTGTATGTAGGTATACACCAATACATTTTCATAGTCCCTGTGGGAATCTCTCCCCTATCTTCTCATACACAGTGGAACCTCTCTCTAAGAACGCCCCTGAAATGAGGACACCTTTCTTTTTCCCCCAAAGAACAGTTTTTTATGCACTTTTAACCCGTGAAAAAAGGACACCTCCCTAATACGGACACTTTATTCTTCCCATTGGTGTCTGGATTAGTGGTGTTCCACTGTAAACCTAGTACACGGTTCCGGCCTACTCACTTGGTATTCTGAATGGCATGTTGGAAATCAGACGAATCTCCTGTATCGTCCACTAGATGAAGAGCTGCAGCGTAGCCAAAGAGGTCTTGGTCGCCAATGGCGGGAGAGAAACGGGCCAGCGGTTCCTCGGTGAATATGTACTTGGCTGTGGCTGGTGCTGCTAGCACTCCGCACAGCACGAGGACTAGCGATAGGGCGCGGCCCCGTGGGTGTGACGTGGTGTTTCTCTCTCTCATTTCTCGAGGGTGTTCTATATGGAGAGGTGTAGGAACAGTGTAAGAGAGAGGAGGGAGGGAGGGAGGGAGTAAAGTAGGTATGTTGGCACACGTACGTACATGCCACTATTGTATCATGTGCTGGTGTAGTCTGACAAAATGGTACACAACATACAGGCTTATATTGTCCACTGATGGCGATCGCGCGTAGCTAATCTCCGGCAACAGCTAGCTGGCTATAGAGAGATAACTCACACCTTGTTCTTGACCAACACTGCCCTGTCCAAATCGCACAAGCAGCACAGCGTGTCCGGAACTTTGGCCGAAATAAAATTGCAAACGTCAGCAAGTATTATTGCGCGCGCCGCTTTTTGCACTCGCGCTTACGAAATTGCGCATGCGCGTAAGCGTCGATACGTACGTACGTACATACGTACGTGTATATACGTGTACACGTGCGTGCATGTGCAGCGCATGTGTGTAGTGTGCATGTGTGTGTGTGTATATACGTCTGGCTAGTGGGTAGGCTACGGTGTCGAAGCTAACCACAGTACAGTAGCATGAGCAGCGTGGGCGGCAGGGATAGTAGGAACGAAGAGTTGCTTAGAGCACCGTTCACCACTGAAAACGCCAACCGAATTGCTCAGAAAATTACATCATGGAGGTTACTAACTGCTTATAACCTTGCTGCTTGGGAAGATATTGCTCACTAATAATCATGGTGAATTGTAGGGCAGTGTGAAATTTTTGTTTGTACAGGTTACTAGCTCCTTTTCTCGGTCTCGACAAGGGGGACGAGGCGGAGATTAGCGAGGAAGGGTCGCTAGGAGAGCAGAGGATAAAAATGATGCAAGTTTGGCTCAGCAGACACGGGAAAGACGCCACTTACCTGAATTTTGTGAGAGGCTGTGAGGAAGCCGGGAGGCGAGACCTCGTGGACACAGTGTATTCCCTAGTCCAACAACACTCGTCTATTCCTCTTACAGTCAGTGAGTGTGCTAAAAAGTGATGCTGTGTTTTCTCTTCTTCCTCGAATTAACCCCTGGTACACATGCTCAATTCTCATTTTTTCTCTCTCTCAACTTCTTTCGTTTAGGTTTAGATTGTGGCAGTTTGGCAAGATTGGGTAAGTTGACAAGGAATGTGATTGTCTTATGGGATGCATAAGCTGCATATTGTGCCTAGTTTGTGTTTGTGTGTGTTCAACGTAGAATGCGTTACTAACAAGCATACATTTACCAGGTGTTCCACTAAGATGCTAGAGTTATGTTACTATTGTCACAGGCAGGGCACCCACCCTCCTTGAGCTGTGTCTCTTCACTGGCAGAAGTGGGACCAGGTACAGAGTGATGGAGAGGTTAGCTCCATTCTGGGAGCAACTGGCACTGGCTCTCAATTTCGAGCCCTACGTCACCGAGACTGTTAAGAGAAGTTCAATGTTTCAGGTATCATTCAAGTGGGCCGTATGGTGCCAGTGCTTTGTGGCTAATGTATAGAAGCTTTTCTCGTCTGTGCAAATAATATTTGCTGTGTGTCACGGTGCATGTGTAGACCACAAAATGCTAGCTTACAAAGAAAATTAGGAGAACGAAATTAACCGATTATATTGTATATTGCCATAGTCTAGATGATGTACTGAGAGAAATAGCAAATCATTTAGGCTCGAAAATTGGGCCTGTCTTTGTCAAAAATGGAAAAGGAATGTGTAGGTAAGGTTGTCCGACTGGAGAAAGTGTTAATAAGAGTTAGACTATTGCTCCAGTGGTGTCTAAATACCTAGTCTAACTCCCACAGGGAGGCTTCCTTGAATGGGTACAGATGTATGTATGTATACATCGTGTTTCTCTGTTTCCTCTCTCATCTCCAGATAAACGATTGCTGTCGAGCCATCATGCAAAAGTGGTTACAAGGGTATCAGTCTGCTGTGGGACCAGTTACGTGGGAGACGCTCCTCTCTGCTATGGCTGAGGTAGAAGATCTCGCTGTTCTTACTGCTGAGCTTCGCGCCGAAATGTGATTACCACAGTCGTCAAGTCGAAACTTACGACATAGTGTAGTTTGATCAGTCAGTCTATATCATGAACACATCTGCCGCATTATGTATATCACAGTCATCATTGTGGAATATAATTCGTGGAAATATTATGGGTGTGTGTATCAGATCATCCATCCGCCCATGACGACCCGGAAGAACTCTGTTTCCGCTGATATACTCATTTCCGGTTAATTTTCGCGCGTGCGCGTAATATCGCGGGCGGGTTGGCTGGTGTGGAAATTCGCTCGTGAAACTTTCATTTTGTGGTGTTTCCGACTTTGCGAGGCTCTAAAGACGCAGAGAGATTCTTAGCTGACACCTTCCCGTGGCGAAAACCTCACCGAAAGAGCCGGCGGGCCCCAGCACCGAGAAATGAGAGAGAGAAACACGTCACAACCACGGGGCCGCGCCCCATCACTTGTCCTCGTGCTGTGTGGAGTGCTGCTAGCATCACCACCAGTCACTGCCAAGTACATATTCACCGAGGAACCGCTGGCCCGTTTCTCTCCCGCCATTGGCGACCAAGACCTCTTTGGCTACGCTGCAGCTCTTCATCTAGTGGACGATACAGGAGCTTCGTCTGATTTCCAGCATGCCATTCAGAATACCAAGTGAGTAGCTTTTAGCTATACAGCTACAAATGGTAGTAAAATCAGCTGCATGAGCCTCAAGAGTACGTATGTGTGTATTTTAGTTGATAGTGATCCCTGGTTACTGTTTAGCATTATAACTTGTAATCTGAATGTCAATATCACCACTTTGAACTTATTATACAGTGTCTTTAAGCTATAATGTCCCTGTGTGTATAGTGGAAACTTCGTAGGTAAACCTTCCTACAAAGCTCACTATGCCTGCAGCATCACAGTACACAGTGAAAAAAACCAGTGCTAATGCTTTTGCTCTGTGTACGTATATGTATGTATGTGTGGAGGTGGGAGAGAAAATGTATTAAAAAAACAGTGGCAAGTGGGTTAAAAAAACAGCTCAAGGGCTGGGTCGGGTAATTATGCACTAAACAATAAACATCGGTGCCGCTATGATGGAAGTATTATACAGCCTTGTGGTCCCCAGGAATTTAGTGAAGACTTAGGTTTACTCTAAGAGGGCGGGTGGCGGATTGTCAGTAGAGAGGTTACGTGGCAGCGAAAGCATGCTAGGAATTTATCATTAGGGGTGTTACTTCCTTTACTATGTGTTGGTGCTGTGTAGGAAATATTGCCTGTGGTTCATTCACCTCTTCCTGCTAATTCCTCTATTTGTTGCCTCTCTTACACCTGTACAATACCTCTTCTGATCTCTTCAGTCACTTCCTAATAGTTGTTCACATGTGAAAACGTGTTTCCTGTAGTATAACAATATTCGAGTTTACTAACTGCTCCCAATGCCCTAGCCCTAACTGATCGCAATGCCGTTTCACTGTGTTACCTGTACTCTCATTAAAAAAAACCGGTACTTTTTAGGCAAAGCAAATCAACCACACACACACACACACACACATTACCACATCATTCTCCATCTCCTTCCCTCCCTCTCCCTCTATCAGAATAATAGTGGGAGCCCCCAACGGGACATTTCCAGGAGGGCTGACGTTCACAGGAGTGAACGACGCTGAGTCTCTCAACCACACTGGCCTGGTATATGTGTGTCCCATCAGTCCACCAGGCGACTGTGAGGCACTCACAGGAAGTGGGGCCGGCGTCGATATACGACTGTTTGACTACGAAGGTTGGTCTCTCTCTCTCTCTGAAGTGAAGTGAAGTTCAATTGTTGTTAAGCCCCACCCCCTTCTCCCCCTCCCCCTCTCTCTCTGAAGTGAAGTGAAGTTCAATTGTTGTTAAACCCCACCCCCTTCTCCCCCTCCCCCCTCTCCTTCCCCATCCTGCAGGAAATGAAGTAGACCGACGCGAAAACCTTCTGGCTGAATCGAAAGAGGGTCAATTCCTAGGGTCTACTATTGTTAGCTCTGGTAATCGCCTCATGGTAAGTCCAGTCCAAAATTAACTTCTTCCCTGTAAATTCCCTCATTCAATTTTAAAAGACAGCAGATTTGACCGATATACATATTATAAGACAATCCGTATTTTATTTGTCCTCGGAAGAGCTACTAAATTTAGATGTACAGGTCAAAAATTTAGATTTGCTAAAATTTAAGACACTGTGTCTTTTCACTGTGGCTTTTTGGCAGGTGTGTGCTCCTCGGTGGATAAGTCTAGAAACGAGAGGGGCGGTGGATTTCGACCGGACTCGAGGTCACGGGCGATGCTTTGTCGCGGCGGCGGCGGAAAGAAATATGAGTGATTTTTTCATCACTCGGCCTTGTGGTTAGTTTTCTCCATCTTTCTTTTGTGTGACCTTCTTAGACTCTTGTGAACACACATATACATACGTAAAGGATACATTTAGAAATGTGTATATACTAAAATAAGAATTGGCCACTGTGGATGGATAATGCAATTTAGCTGTATAGGCGGCACAGCACTAACACACAGTAACTCTCTCCATTTTCTCCCTCCCTCCCTCCCTCCATTCTCCCTCTCTCCATTCCCCTCCCCTCTACCTCTCTCCATTCTCCTCCCCTCTACCTCTCTCCATTCTCCTCCCCTCTCTCTCCCTTCCCCTTCCTCCTCCTATCTCTCTCCATTTTCTCCCTCCCTCCTTCCCTCCCTCCCTCCCTCCCTCCCTCCCCTCTTCCTCCCCCATACAGACGGAGGCACACCCTCATCTGAAGGTGGGAACTCCTACTGCATGGCCGGGACATCAGCCGCGCTCCACGAGACATCCGACACCACATTCTCAGCTTTCCTCGGAGGTCCACCTTTTTCATCCAGCAACGGTATGTGCACAAGCAGTTGAACCTCCGATCCGCTAAAGGGATGTTGCTAAATATTTCGGCTTATGTACTTTGACCTTGAACTCCTCAGGTGCTGTTTTCAGTATGATCTGACGGATGGGGTCATCCCCGGGGCTTCTCAGACTGCCGACAAAACATACACACACATCACTGACTTCGTCTACGGAGGTATATACTGTAGATGTATAATACATACTTTGTACTAATACTAGTTGTGTACATATATGTTGCAGTACCCAGACAGGACAGCGTGAGCCCTTACAGGGCTCATGCTGTCCTGTCTGGGTATTGCAACAGATTTGTTGGATATCCCTAGGCAAATGACATGTATGAACCCTGCTTGCACGTGTAGGATTGTATAGGCTGATACAATCCCCCAGTACCTAGCTTCATACATGTCGGTTGCCTAGGGGGATATCCAACAAATAGTGATACTAGTATACTTCATACATTGACATACTGTACTGTATCTGCTAGGCGGCTCCAGTGTTGAGTTGGTCTTTCTTTCTTTCTTGGTAAACTTTGTCAAATTGATTTTCTATTTCAAATTTTCAGGTTTTTCTGTAGCTCTTGGAAATATCATCAGTGAAAGTGACATGGGTATATGAGCAATAGTGTTTTCCGTTTGTGCAATTTATTTATTATTATTGTTATTTTTCAGATCTTGTATCGTCGTTGCCCAAAAGCAACAATTACAAGGGCTCTGTGAGTTAATTAATTAGGGAGGGGTGGTTTATTTAAAGTAACGTAATGATGGTATTATAATTATGTTCTTATTTACTCTTAGGTAAGGGTGTTTGATATTTCAAATGTATCAATAGAAGTGGAGGCAGAAATGTGTGGAATACAGGTAAGTTAGAGAGAGAGAGAGAGGGAGAGAGAGAGAGGGAAGGGGAGGGAGGGAGGGAGAAATAGGAAGGGAGATGAAAGAGGGAGAGAGAGGACTTCTTTAAGCCATGGACCTCGCATTTATAAAATCACGGGCTTGCAATACCGACTGAGCTAATCGGGAGAGTTGTAGACTGAAATGTTAGCTGCACACACGATCAGGTGGGGTAGATTCAACAGAATTCAGCCACTGTTAGTAAGTAATGGTGCTCCTTGTCTGTGGCAGATGGGAGAGTACTTTGGCTGGTCAGTGGCCACTGCAGACCTCAATGGAGACGGGTGAGTGTCCATGTCTCTCCTTTCATCTCAACACTCTCACCTCAGTTGGTGCTACACACCTTTCCTTGTACTCCTTTCTTGGGTCGTTTCCTGGTGTAGGTGTGCATTAATGAACGTGTTCTCTTTCAGTTTCGATGAGATAATAGTGGGAGCCCCTCTTTTCAGCACTCGTGATAAGATCGAAAAGGGACGTATCTTTATCTACAAAAACAACGTAAGATGATCAAACTGTAAATGTCATGAGCAGAGCTAATGACAGACTCTCTGTATGTGTGTGTATAGGGGACACTGGATACTGATAATCCTATAATGATACCTGGGACAGGGAGTAAAGGAACGGAATGTATGAGCGTCAGCCATTGTCAATCTGGGAGACCATCAACAGCGACGGGTTTTGAAGCGTGAGCAGCTTAGGTAGACGATCTAGTCAGTTTGACTACTGACTACTGCCAGTTGTTAGCTAGCTGGGGATGAAGAAAAGCTTAATTAACAATCTTGGTAGGACGTATGAGAGGATGTTGAAATGAATCCTATAACTACTGGCACTTCCATCTGGCCGACTGGTGTATGGATTAGAAGAGTTCCACTGCTACATGAAATAGTGTTAGTGAGCTAGTGGTGTTGTATTCCTCTGGTGTATTGACAGATATAGCAGTGAGTGGCTCCGTTTGGAGTCCCGAGAGGAGAGGAGGGGCAAGAAGGGACGGTCTACATCTACCTGGGCTCAGAGGAGAGAGTGTCATTGTCACCATCTCCCTGAGGACGAGAATACAGCTGCAGACATCTCCAGTCGCTCGGCTTTGACGAGAGCAGAGTTTGAAGAGCTTTGGATACTCTCTCTCCAGTGGAGTTGATGTGACGCCAACGCTACAATGGTATTACTTATGCATACTCAGTGTGTGTTCACTGTAGATCTATAGTTGGAAAGATACTGTTTTCACGTCGACCTCTTCTGCAGATCTGTCATTGGAGGCTAAAGCAGCAGACAGGATAGTCTTGCGGTAAATATCCAATCCTTTATACATACACAAGACAACCCGTTGATTGCCACGCTCCCTCTCCCTCTCCCCTCTCCCGGCCCCTCATCTGCACAGCACTCGCTCCCTCCCTCCCTGTCCAATGTCTCTCTCTCACTCTACACGATTCCTCATACGAATTCATCGACTACAGAAACAGCGTGAGTAAGTAGTTTTAGTAGTTTTGGTTAGTTTGGTGGTTACCTGACGTCACTGACGTTTGGCACAGCTAGCTTCAGCTCAGCTTTGCCTGAGCGCGACGAATGTACCGGATCATAAGATACGTCGTAGTGCACACTTACAGTTAAATCACTCAAAGTAGGCAAAGGTTTCATTGACATGGAAGTTGTTCGTACGTTGGTACAGTACAGTGGGTGGTGCATGGATTGGTGCGTGCTAGAAAACCAAGGAATATTGCTATGTGTACGAATGTGTGCACGTGTGTTGCAAGGTGTTCAGTTATGATGTGCTGCTCTCGTCCTCCTCTCAGTTTTACACTGGAGATTAAGGTAGAGTACTCTGGACGTGGTCTGATTGTGCTCTTGTACGTACGCATTCTCTCTCACTCTTGCTCACGTCATCCTCTCTCTCTCATTTCGCCTCCGTTTCTCTCCTCTATCTCTCTCGCCTTCTCTCCTCTCCTCCATCTCTGTACATCCATTTCCTTCTCATCTTCATTTATCCTACCTCTCACCTCCTCCTCCTCCTCCTTTCTCAGACACAAAAGTGGCGCGGTGAGAGATTGTTTGAAGAAAATCGCAGTTTTTATGTCTGTAGTTGTCAACAGAAGCGTCTCTTCTTTCTGGACTCAGACAAAACATAATGGACGTTTTTGAAGCATTTCTGAACTCTTCAGTGCAACCGACATCCAACCTACAGAACCCGTACTGTCTATGTTGTAGGTACGTACACTACTACCATTGATGGATGTAGATTTCCGGCACTTTGGGATACCGTGCAGAAGACCTGCATCGGGCGGGCTATAATAGAAAAGAAAATATATGGCGTGTGTATGGTGTAAGCGATGTTGTAATCGTGTAAGTGAAAACTCAAATAACATGATCATCATGCAATGTTATCAAAGCTGTCCGCTCCTACGGTATGTAAGCGAGAGGAGCAGCTTTGCGACAGTATCGCGAAGCCTTCTCCCACTATGAAGGAGTGCTCTGACCTTCAGAGAGACACTAATTAAGTGCACGGGGCCGACGATATGCGTATACTAGCAAGTGACTGTGTATCTAGTACACGTGTGAGCTGCCAATACCGGACACCGTAGGAATGTTTGTGGGTGCATTGAGAGAGGGTGGGTTTATTGTACTCCCATTGCCAGGCATCCGCGCTCCCATTAGTTGCAATAAACACGTTGCTCTTATATACAAGGCTGGGGTCTGTACGGCCTACTAGGCCATCTACTGATCTCTCTAGTTCAGTGTTTGTTTGTATAAACTACAATAATCATTTGGACGTCATGATGTTTGTCATTATTCCATTCTGAACTGCTGTACTAGCCTCAGTAGTTTCGAGGAGTGCTCTGCCTAGAACGCAGAGTGTCGTGGGTTCAAATCCTACCCAGGGCAGCTCTTTTTTCTCTATCACCTTCAGTGTTTGAACAGCTGTGTATAAACTACAATCATTTGGACGTCATGATGTTGTCATTGACTCATGTGAACTGCTGTAGTAGCCTCAGTAGTTTCGAGGAGTGCTCTGCTAGAGTGTCGTGGGTTCAATCCAACCCAGGGCAGCTCTTTTTTTTCTCTATCACCTGACTCTCTCCTACAATGTCTGTACATATGTCTACACCCATAGAATGATATTCAGGACGGACGTCCTCTGAGTATGGTTGTGACTGTGGCACCCATCGAGAGAGTTCCGAGGGATGTGAACGGAAGTCAAGACATCTTCGACCTGAGAGAATTCCCTCTTTGAACGTTCTTCCTCTGGACGACGTCGAGGTCGTTCGTGCTGACAGATCGCCCCGTCCTACCTTTCTTCACTCCTAACTTTATCTCTCTCTCTTCTCACTCTATTTAACCCACTCCCTTCATCTCTCTCCTGCTGCACTCCGAACTTTATCTCTCTCTCTCTCACTCTATTAACCCACTCCCTTCCCTCATCGCTCTCGGCTTCACTCCTAACTTTATCTCTCTCTCTCTCACTCTATTTAACCCACTCCCTTCCCTCATCTCTCTCCTGCTTCACTCCTAACTTTATCTCTCTCACTCTCACTCTATTTAACCCACTCCCTTCCCTCATCTCTCTCCTGCTTCACTCCTAACTTTATCTCTCTCTCTCTACACTAGTTAACACACTCCCTTCCCTCATCGCTCTCCTGCTTCACTCCTAACTTTATCTCTCTCTCTCTCAACTACTATTTAAACACTCCCTGCCCTCATCTCTCTCCTGCTCACTCCTAACTGTATCTCTCTCACTCTCACTGCTATTTAAAAACACTCCTTCCCTCATCTATCTCCTGCTCACTCCTAACTTTATCTCTCTCTCTCTCACTCTATTTAACCCACTCCCTTCCCTCATCTCTCTCCTGCTTCACTCCTAACTTTATCTCTCTCTCTCTCACTCTATTTAACCCACTCCCTTCCCTCATCTCTCTCCTGCTTCACTCCTAACTTTATCTCTCTCTCTCTCTCACTCTATTTAACCCACTCCCTTCCCCCATCTCTCTCCTGCTTCACTCCTAACTTTATCTCTCTCTCTCTCTCACTCTATTTAACCCACTCCCTTCCCTCATCTCTCTCCTGCTTCACTCCTAACTTTATCGCTCCCTTTTCAACTCTTCTCTCTCTCTCTCTCTCTCTTCTGTACTTATAACTTCCTTCTGCTTCACTCCTGACTTTGGCTGGGATTACTGTGTGGGAACCACGCCTTTATCACACTCTTCTCTCTCCCCTCTCCTCTCCCCCTCTCTTCTTCAGCTGACTCTGGCTGGCTGTAGAAACGTCACCCGATGTGAACCGGATCTAGAACTGACCCTCAACAGCACAGCATACAATGAGTAAGCCACCACCCATTTACCCTCTGAGGGAGTACTAGGTCCTGCCTGCATGGGTTTATTGGAAATGGGGAACGAAAAAAGGATGGTTCATTGGAATCGGGGTATCAAAAATTAAGAATTTGATTTGGTCATTGGAATCAGGAATGGAAACAAAATGTTATCGGGAATGGGTTCATTGGAATCAGGAATAGATTCTTTAGGATTCTTTAGGATCAGGAGATTAGAATCGAAAATGTTGTGGTTCACTGGAATGTGGAATATGTGTATAGGAATGTGAATAAGATTGTACTCCTGGTAAATGACAGTCTCAGGAACGCGATAACCACCCTCTCATCTATTACACCGCTATGCAGGCAGCCGCCATCAACTTCGCCGATGGTGGTAGTAATAGCCAGTCCGAACCAAGGCGAGGTCCACGTGACCCTCAACTACAAGACGCTGGACGACAACGCCACCATGTCGTTCCTGAAAATCGGTGTCGACCGGAATGTGTTTGGGATCCCCAGTATCGGGAACGAGACATGTGGCATGGGACCCGGCAGTACATTTGAGTGTCCTGTGGAACGAAATGTCACATATTATCAAGGCGTAAGACTCTCTTCTTCCAATTTTTCTTCAACACCGCGCTTGCATTTCATACATACTGTAGTTGTGTTATAATGGAGAATGTTTTATATAATCACAATATTGTTACATATGTAAAATTCTCAGTTTAAACCAGATTAGACCCAAATTCATTAACCCCTTTTCCACTGTGTCCACCATCTCTCTCTCTCTCTCTCTCTCCTTTCTCTTTCTCTCTCCTTTCCCACGCAGTATTTCACGGTGAATGTTACAGTTCCGCTCAGCACTGGTCTAGTCGGAAATGAAGATGATTCAGTGATTTCGTTCACCATTGTTCCCGGAGATGACGTGGATCCAATACTAAACAACAACGACGTCCACGTCACTGTCGATATTACTGCAGTTAACGAGGTCTCCATTCAGCGTGTGTAAGTTTGGTCCTTCGTCAAAACTCTCGATATAGCTGAGGAGCAGGGAGGGGGAGGGGGAGGGGACAGAAAGAGAGAAGAAGGGGAGGAGAGAGGGAAAGAAAGAAAGAGAGGAGGGGGAGAGGAAGGGGGGAAAGAGAGAGAGAGGAGAAGAGAGAAAGAGAGAGAAGAGGGAAGAGAGAGAGGAAGAGAGACGCAGGAGAGAGCGGAGACGAAGAGAGAAGCGAGAGAAGAGAGCCGAGCGCAGAGCTACAGAGAACGCAGAGGACGAGCGCAGAGAAGAGAGAAGAGAGACGCTCTCCTCTCCTCTCGTCATCTCGCTCTATCTCTCTCTTCTCTCTCCCTACTCCTCGTCTCCCTCCTCTCTCTCTACTCGCTCTCTCTCCCTTCACTCGCCATTACAAGAAATTTATTCATGTGTTTGCATAATTTATCCGTATTTTCCCCTAGGATTGTAAGCCCTCCTGCGACGCAGTATGAAGATGTAAGTTCATATCAACTATTTATTACACCCAGTATTATTACACAGCATACTTATTACATCATTGAGTCATGTGACAATCACGTGATTTATCCGTTAACCCCAGACCGACGAGATAGGGCAGCAGGAGATATCTACACATGTCACTCTAATTGGGTCGGGCCCGTCGGCAATTCCTTTCTCGACTCTCACAATTCAAATCCCCGGCAAGACTGAGGACACCGGACGACTTTACTATCTCTATCCCACTAATTACACGGTTAGTGGGGCAGCCCCTGTAATTAGCGGACTGATTAAAATTAACCCACTGGTCATGCAGTTAGTGGGGCAGCCCCTCGAACTAATTGAAATAGCCTACACACTAATTGAAAGTGTGTTTATACGTACACAAAAAACCCTCACACGAGAGAGAGAGAGATAGGTTTAGGTTTCACTGTAATTTGTTGACCTCTCTCTGCAAAAGGTTTAGGTTTCACTGTAATTTGTTGACCTCTCTCTGCAAAGGGTTCAGTTTCACTGTAATTTGTTGACCTCTCTCTGCAAAGGGTTCAGTTTCACTGTAATTTGTTGACCTCTCTCTGCAAAGGGTTCAGTTTCACTAATTTGTTGACCTCTCTCTGCAAAGGGTTCAGTTTCACTGTAATTTGTTGACCTCTCTCTGCAAAGGGTTCAGTTTCACTGTAATTTGTTTGTCTGCAGGTGTTAGATGAATCATCATCGGTACAAGTGGATTGCTCTGAACTCGACCCCGAGGGATTGGTCATCAATCAACAGAAGAGAAGGGGAAGAAGACAAGCGTAAGTGTATGGATTATGTAATTACGATGTAATATCATATGATGTCACAATGATGTAATGGTCGAGGAGGTTAGTGTGTCTAGTGATGCTTGTTGTAGTGTTAGTCTTGACATGTATGTTGACTATGATGTCATGGTGATGTAATTAACTGTCACGTGACATGTTGGCCACGCCCACTCTAATCAGGCCTCAACCTGGTATAATGAAGAGGTTGTGGAGAGAGGTGACGAGAGAAGGAGTAAGAGAGGAGGAGGAGTTACCACTGGGGAAGAGACAAGAAATGGAGCCTGTAAGTGGCACTAAATAGAACACTGAAGTGCAGACTGAAATGACATAGAACACTGAAGTACTGAAGTGCACTAAATAGAACACTGAATAAAATTTTGCACGGAGAGTGGGGAGGCTACTTCCTCCCTTCTCTACATATACTGATCCAAAATTGCCCAAGTGTCATAGTTTGTATAGTGTGCCATTTTGGGAGTATTTGTGTGGCAACCTCCAATCTTCTTGCTTTCTCATTTTCTCTCTCCGTGTACTCTCACCTCCCTCTCCTCTCCCCCTCCTCTCTTCCCTCCAGACTGTTAATTGCAGCAAAGACCCTGGAGTGTGCACACCTATCACATGCACCATCGAAAACTTTGGAACTGGCATTATTACCATCTCTGTGACTAGTGTCGTCGACAATCGATACTTCAGAGTAAGCATCTTGCAGTGATCAAATACTAAAACACCTCTCTACTAAGGACACTTGGTTCTGCCCCATACTAATACATAGGGACACCTCTCTATAAAGGACACTTGGTTCTGCCCCATACTAATACATAGGGACACCTCTCTATAAAGGACACTTGGTTCTGCCCCATACTAATACATAGGGACACCTCTCTATAAAGGACACTTGGTTCTGCCCCATACTAATACATAGGGACACCTCTCTACTAAGGACACTTGGTTCTGCCCCATACTAATACATAGGGACACCTCTCTATAAAGGACACTTGGTTCTGCCCCATACTAATACATAGGGACACCTCTCTATAAAGGACACTTGGTTCTGCCCCATACTAATACATAGGGACACCTCTCTATAAAGGACACTTGGTTCTGCCCCATACTAATACATAGGGACACCTCTCTATAAAGGACACTTGGTTCTGCCCCATACTAATACATAGGGACACCTCTCTACTAAGGACACTTGGTTCTGCCCCATACTAATACATAGGGACACCTCTCTATAAAGGACACTTGGTTCTGCCCCATACTAATACATAGGGACACCTCTCTATAAAGGACACTTGGTTCTGCCCCATACTAATACATAGGGACACCTCTCTATAAAGGACACTTGGTTCTGCCCCATACTAATACATAGGGACACCTCTCTATAAAGGACACTTGGTTCTGCCCCATACTAATACATAGGGACACCTCTCTATAAAGGACACTTGGTTCTGCCCCATACTAATACATAGGGACACCTCTCTATAAAGGACACTTGGTTCTGCCCCATACTAATACATAGGGACACCTCTCTATAAAGGACACTTGGTTCTGCCCCATACTAATACATAGGGACACCTCTCTATAAAGGACACTTGGTTCTGCCCCATACTAATACATAGGGACACCTCTCTATAAAGGACACTTGGTTCTGCCCCATACTAATACATAGGGACACCTCTCTATAAAGGACGCTTGGTTCTGCCCCATACTAATACATAGGGACACCTCTCTATAAAGGACGCTTGGTTCTGCCCCATACTAATACATAGGGACACCTCTCTATAAAGGACACTTGGTTCTGCCCCGTACTAATACATAGGGACACCTCTCTATAAAGGACGCTTGGTTCTGCCCCGTACTAATACATAGGGACACCTCTCTATAAAGGACACTTGGTTCTGCCCCATACTAATACATAGGGACACCTCTCTATAAAGGACACTTGGTTCTGCCCCGTACTAATACATAGGGACACCTCTCTATAAAGGACACTTTGTTGTGTTGCATTACACCATTAGTGCATGATGCATGGATGCCAAAGGACACTTTTGATGTACCCACAGTGTCCCTTATTCAGAGGTTTAACCGTAGTCGGGTTTGGACTAATCCGGACACCAATGGAACAGAAGAAAGTGTGTCCATATTAGTGAGGTGTCCTTATTTCAGGAGTTTAATGAACTCCAAGAAATGAACCCATTACTTCTGTCTTCTTGCAGAACCAAGATGGAGACTTTACGTTTGTAATGAGTGCAGACTACATGATCGATTCAAACTTTTTCGAACAAACCAGTAGAGGATCTGAGAAGTCGGTAAGACACACTCCTATACTCATTCTCCCCTCCCCTTCTCTCTTTCTCTATTTTTTACTGTGGTAAGACACGCTTCTCTCTTCCATCTTTCTCTCCCTCCTCTCTCTCTTATTCAATTTTACTGTGGTAAGACACACTTCTCTCTTCCATCTTTCTCTCCCTCCTCTCTCTCTCTTTGTCTTTTCTTTTACTTTCGTTTTACTACCATGTATTTCTTCTTGTTCCTCTCATGCTTAAACAACTCACCCCTCTCTCAATCCTCTCATTTCCCTCTCCTCCCTCTCCTCCCTCTCCTCCTCTTTCCATTTCTATCCCACCCGCAGAATTTACTAACAGTGAGAGGTTTGCCTACAACAGTCCAGAGGCCCGTACCTGTGTGGGTATATATTGTGTCAGCACTTGTTGCCATCATCATCATCACTCTTATTATTATAGCACTCTTCTTGGTGAGTTATATATAATATAGCACTCTTCTTGAGTTATTGCACTCTTATAAGTATGCAATAGTTTATAGAGCACTCTTCGTATGTATGTAGATCTGTACCACTCTCACATCTCACGTCTCACACAGCTGGTGATATGTCTCCGTCGACGCACGAAGAAGAAGATCAGACGTGCCACGGAGAGACGCAGGTCTAGACACGGGACAGTGACCGCTGGCACAGGGGGCGGGGCTGTCGTAACCTCCCTGGATACCAAACCAGTGGAAGACGTGGACGAGAAACCAAAACCTGTAAGTCGGGTTTGGTGGGTGGGCTCCATTTAGGATAGAACAACGTATTGCATAGGTGTTTGGTTTTTTTGGTTGCGTATGCATGCAACTATCCAGTGTAGTGCAATGCTAGCAGTTGTGCTTTCAATTTCTCTCTTCCTCTCCTCCCTCCTTCTCTCTCCCTCTCTTCCTCCCTCCTCTCTACATACCTCCTCTCTACCTCTCCTCCCTCCTTCTCTCTCCCTCTCTTCCTCCCTCCTTCTCTCTCCCTCTCTTCCTCCCTCCTCTCTACCTCCCCTCCCTCCTTCTCTCTCCCTCTCTACATACCTCCTCTCTACCTCCCCTCCCTCCCTCCTTCTCTCTTTAGCTGCCAGAGAGTGGTGGCGATGATACACCAGACAACCCAACTGCACCGCCAGCTGAGGAGCTACCAGCGGAAGATCCAACAACTGAAGATCCTGATGAAACCGAACTCTAAAAAACTATCTTTTCTTCTTAACTGTGCAATACGCCCATTTCCCGTAGATTCCATTTTCATTTTCAGCTTCGTGACGTATACTACATGATTAGCTCGTCTTACTCATATTGTAGGGTAAACATCAACAACAACAATCATTAATTTGTTTATTCTTGAATACTTATGCATATATATATACACGCTCTTGTTTTTAAAGTGTTGATTAATTTTTACCATGCCAGGTAATGATAAAAAGTGATGGGAAAATGACTTGCAGTGAGTTACAATTCTTTTTTATGATCAAAACAAGAAGCCAAAAAACACAAAGACAAACAAAAAAGTGATTGACACAAACATTAAAAGTGAAAGTCCTGATTGGTGGGCGGAGGAGTTTGGAGATGCCACGCCCCCTACATTGTCCACGGTCTGTGCGGTGGACTGGAAACGTGAGACTTGGGCACGGGCGGCGATGAGGTGGGATAGATAAGGGTCGGAGGCAAGCAACGGAGCTCTATTGTTGATCAGTGTTGCCAGTTTTACGGCCTCCTGGTTACATACCTCAATCTGCATGGACAGGGAGAGCCAGTAAACGTAACAGTTTAATAACCCTTATTCTCCTAAGTAACCCATGCAATACTGGCTACTCTGTGCTGGCTACTTCAACTTTTACAAGATCACACGTAGTCTCATAACGGAGACTCTAAATAAAGCACACCTATAGCTAAAGGGCACTTTTTCAATCCCAATAGATTGCAAAAGACACAACTTTAACGGTACCAACGGTGTCGCCTTATTAGAGATTCCACCATACATCACCTACCACAACAGGCGCAGAAGCGTTGATAACTGGAAGAATGAGGACCGAGAGAGATTGGTCCGCCTCCACAAATCCATACAAGTCACACTGCAACTGCATTATACAGAGAATTTCGAGGTTGGCGCTATACATACATAACTTGCAAGACAAAGGCAACAGAAACAATAATATATTATGAGCTGCCCTGGTATATAGCTCAGTGGGTAGAGCACTCTTTGGCAGAGTGTCGTGGGTTCGAGTTACTTTTCTTAATGCTTCATGCCTCGCTTATGAGTTCCGCAGTCTATAAATAGCATCGAATGTCTAGAAATAGGAACTTACAGAGGTGATGTAATGCCTGAGTCGACCAATGATATCAACGGAAGAGATGACGCCCTGACCCAGAGCGTTGCTGTTTATTTCGAGGCTCTCTTCGTCCATCAAAATAGACACATGCCCACCTGCAAACCCATTACCATTTCCTCAGTCACAGGATAACAATAGTATTGTGGACTTTTGTATATTATGTGTTTATGCAATTATGTAGTCATTGTACGTTCAACATCTCAGCTAGGACAGTTTAGTGCATAGCTGGTAGTGCATAGCTGGTTTAAATCGAGCAATCTGATTGGACAGTTTAGCTAGGGCTATGAAACCTCTGAGCAAGAGACCTTGGGGACATTTAAAGTACAGAGGTATATCCTTTATTCGGAGGTGGTTATGAATGGGATCACTGACCACACTTGGTGCAGCAGGAACTCCATGATTTGACTCCAATACAGTCGGAATGGCTCAGAGACGGGCAGACAACATCAGCACATGAACCTTCTGGACCTAAAGATCCAGTAACAGAAAACTTTCAGCGGAGAAACTATTTCGCTGAAAACAATCTTACATTACGTGTCTTCCTGTGTAACGCATAAAACTTTACGAATGAAACTTTTCGTGTATAGATGTCACGACTATCAAGGGGCAACATTCATGAACAAGAGAAAGGGTCAACTACACCCAGCACAACTCAAAAAGGACTTGAACCATGATACTCTGCAGTCTAGGCAGAACACTCTACCTAGCATTTCGTTGCTGCTAGATAATACTTACCTGAGCCAGGCACAGCTTTGCACGGCTCACGATAGTCGACTGCAATATGTACACTTTCAGCGTGGCAAAAAGTCTCAAACGTTTCGCCATTTACACCGCACACTGGACGACCCTTTACACGGGAACAATCATCCTGTATTGGGGGATGGAAGACAAGAGGAAGAAGGAGAAAAAATGGATGAAAGAAAGATAGAGAGTGATAGAAAGACCTCAATTTGTAACATGCTCACTGACAAAGGGCGGATTACACGTTTGCTCCAACTTTCTTTCCGCTCCTGTTTGCTCTATCTCGCTAGCTCTTTGGTCTATATACCACGCGAGTGTTTGCTCTATCTTGCTTCCTTTTGCTCTTACTTCCTCACTTGCTATATTCTTTTCTCTTCTATTGTTAGCTACCTGCTCTCTTTTGCTACATGCCGCTCAATCTAGCTTTAGGCCTGGACATATGCACAAACATACCCTGCAGTAGCCATGATAGCCATAATCTTCAGATGTTCTAAGAAAGTTGCAGAGAGTGGAATGTTGTCTGTTGGATGCATCGCACACCGGATCGGGTACACTGTTACACAACTGCAAGAGGGGCTCTGAAGGAGGCAGGGAGAAGGAGGGAAGGGGGGTGGGATGGTTTGAAGATGGAATATGTGGAATATGTAAGGAAGGAATCTTCTAAAAACTTCCAAGTTATGATTTGCACTCTATTGTCAAGAGCTAAAAGTCATATGGAATCCTAAAGACACCAAAAGAAGTTGCTTCTGATAAGCTCAATTGGTTTTACGACTAAACATAATCTCATATAGTGAATAATGTCACTCACCACATGTGTGCTGCGAGCATTCCCCGGCGTTGCCTTGGAGACAGACGCGACGGTTCGGCATACATCTTGACCCCTCGTCACACCCGTGGCCCGAACATGGGTCGAACGTATTACAGTCCCCAATCTTGTATTCCTCCCTTTTGTACTCCAAACACCTGGAAACACATTGGTATCTCAAGAATTTGCCTTCATTACCTGCATGGTTGGTGTCTTAACCATGCTTACACTATTGCACAGTCATTATAATACGATAATTTAAATTTGCACTGCATTTTACAGCCATTTGGAACGATTGGTTGCCCGGCCTTTACTCACACTTGTTTGCCAAATTTATGCCACCCTATACCTGCACTGCATCCTCCAGCTATAGTCAAGGTATTCGGGATTGTTTAATTTGCCTGTCCTTCGCTAAACGTGCTTGCTAAAAGTACGAAACCTAGTGCCACAATGGGGCATCATCGACATATTCACGTACACAGCAGTGCATGAGTTAGGGAGAGTGTGACCATCTGTGGTGCAGACTGGTTGGTGCACCCTGGGACAGTCGCAGTTTAGATCTGCAGGAGAAAGAACAAAGAAACCAGGGAGACAATTTGTGTGCAAGCACCAGTGCAGCTCAGAGCCAGGCAGGGTTTACAAACACTAACGCAACACAGGGCACCCCAAATACTTTGTAACTAACGCAACACAAGGCAAGGATAAACCACAATACTTTGTGTGCTATGGCAGGTAAACTCAACCTAACCGTGCAAAAGTACACGCCTAAAACAAGAAAAGCTCTCTAAAAACCATCTACCCCTAAGACCACAACCACTCCTCCATAAAGGACACACACACACACTCACAAAACTAAACGTAGAAACTCACAAGTTGAAGAACCTGCTATAGCTGTGCTCTGGCACGTGAGGTTGGTACATTTTATTCTGCCGTAGTAACAGGTGCAGAAGTTGCAATCGTCTGGTTCAAAATGAGCCAAGTGAGCTGAGAGGGGAGGACACATAGAGTGTTAGGGAAGTAGAGGAGGTAGAGGAGGAGGTGAAAACAAGAAGAAAGACAGGGCGAGGAAAACAGAGGGGAGCAACAGAAGAAGAGGAAGGTAGCAAAAGAGGAAAGAGAGGGGAGAGAAGAGGGATAGGGTTAGAGAGGGAAGGCGGGAGAGGAAAGAGAGATACAGGGAGGTTGAAAGATGAGAAAAGGGGAGGGAGAGCAACATAGAGAAGAATCGGACATTTGTAGCTGTAAGATTCGATACTCCATTAGTTACTTACGGTAGACATCATCGTGGCCTCTGGGGCAATGCAGCTGCTGTTCGCAGTGTATGGTGGGAGGTGGTGGGCTGGTCCCTGGTACATTCTCCACCTCGCTCTCGCCAGGGAGAGGAGTCGTGCAGTTGAAGAAACCGAAACAATCTGACATACAGGCAGATATGGCGGCGGGAACCGACGGAGGTATGGAGAGACGATGGATAAAAGGAAGAGAAAGAACAAGGTTCATTTAGAAGCAAGGAAGATGTGTACGTGCAAGGAAACAGAAAGACGTTAGAGAGAAGGTATAAAGTGAAGAGCGAGAGTATACACCGGAAAACATGAGAACCTTGAAAACAAGTACACAACATTAATACATGTATTACATGTACTGTATCCCAAATGGAGCTCACCATCCTCGGTGGAGAGGAGCTCGACGGGGACTCGAATGCGGCTGCCTCTGGGGTAGAGGAGAGACGGCCCGTCACCCACCGAACACCCCGGCTGACAGATGTAGTGCGAGCAGGCAAGGTCGCCGTGGCGACACAGGTGGTTTATGGAGCACAAGAACCCGCTCTTGCAGGGGTTGGGATCACAGGGGTTTGTTACCAAGGCAACCTGATACTCTGACGTCTTACTGGGTTCTGCGTGAAAAATTTACCATGTTACTAAACATAGAAGCAAATCCCAAAGTTAGTAACAGCCTTACTGGTGAACTGGGAAAGGGAAAGGCAGTTTACATTGGACGCAGCTGGAGTGATGATGTCGCAAATAGCAGTTGTAGAGTAGGTGGAGTTATTACAGTCTCCTAGCAACCGAAGACAGTCCTCTCTATACACGGATATTATGAGGTGAGGAAACAGGAAAAATTTTGCTCTCACCTGCAAATCTGAGTTGAGTGAGTGACTGGATTGCACGGCTGCACATGTATGATGCATGCCAAAGCCTGTAAAAAGTATGGTAAAATATTAGTTTGCGCTTAGCTGAGCCATCCAGAAAAAGTTTGTAGCAACAGGTATATTATATTAGCTAAAAAACGAAAATTTTCCTAAAAGTTCCTACATTACCTTCCACAGTTCAGGATGGCAGGTCTGGACATTTTTAATGAAGACTGTGGCCAGAGGATGGTTGATGCGGCGGTAGTTGGCCCAGGTGTAGTAGTCGTTCTTAGCCATGTGGTCGGCTGATGTCGTACATTGCCTGAAGGTCTGAGACGGTCTAGGGATTCAGAGAAGGGAATTGCAACGGTGAGCATCTGAATGTGAATACCGTGGCAACTCACCAGGCAGGGCTCTATAATTAAGTGTGTAGTTTCCATACCTGTTATTGAAGTTGCTGCAGAAGTGAAGTCCACTGCAGCCAAGTTTACATGGTGAACTCACTGCAAACAAATCCAAGTGCACAAAAATTAGTTACCATGTCTCAGACAGAGGGGACGATTGTCAATAATTGTTATACTCCCACATAGTGTTTGGTTACCTTGCCAGTTAATGGATATAATGGTCCATACTGAACAACTGGTGGGCCTTAATTTCAAGGTAATCTGTTTACAATTGGGAAATTAACCAATTCTGTCGGTAATGTACGGGCTGCCAACTTAATACCATGCCGTTGTAAGTAGCATAAACAATGAAGCATAAAACATCCAAAATTCTTGTAAAATTAATAATACTTACCATCGTTTAGACAAGTGATCAGAGATGACTGTGAAAAAAGAAATTTAATGGGCGTCTTAATAATAATTAGAGGGTTTACCTCGCTGGGTCTGTGGATGCAGTCCAGTTGCAGTGTTTGCCATGACGAAGAAGATATGATACCTGAATACAGCTAAAATGAGGAAAAAAATGCCAACAATAGCAGCATACCATAAAGAAAGGGAGGCAAGATAGGGAAGGAAGATTGTGCCAATTGTGAAGACTTGTCAAACATCACAGGTGCATAATGGTTTAGAAATATACTCGTGTTTTCTTACTTGAACACAGCTACTCCTGCAGTCACTGGCTCTTGCATGATTACAGCACTGAATCCTAGCCCAGTCCACATTCACAGCTATAATAGGGTAGCATACATTCATGCATACATATACATCCTTTTTTCTGTGATCAGCCAAGAATTAACTCACGTTTGAGGGTGGGAGGATCGGTGGCTGTTTTATAAGGAAGACAGACAGACACTTAAATCTCTCATTATTACAAATTTATTGCATTACGTATTGCATTACGTAAGTCCAAAAGAGTAACATGAAATGATTGTCTGCAGTTTACTAAATGACTCACTTGGTGCAAGAAAGCACTCCCACATAGGCCCCTGTAGGAGGAAGAGAATTCATTATCGATAGTCTGTGTAATACGTCAGTCCATGCATGGGCTGCCAGTTGCATACCTCCTTGGAGCAAGTTGGTACTAGCGCCATCTAGGCCACCAGTTGCATACCTCTATTGCCCTCTTGGAGCAAGTTGGTACTAGCGCCATCTAGGCCACCAGTTGCATACCTCTATTGCCCTCTTGGAGCAAGTTGGTACTATAGCGCCATCTAGGCTATTGAGTGGAGCCAAGTCTTGGCCAAATATCTTTTGCAAGAAACCCAATTTCAAACTGCAGAATTGTGCTTAATTTGCATGCTCTGTCAGTGCTCAATCAATGTTTATTGAATAACAGTTTTAAAGATGAGAAACTAAGTATCGTAGTTTTCATCATTATATTTTACATGCTCTTTCAGTGTCTTTCAGTGCAAGGTCTCAGCAAAATAGACACAAGAGATTGTCATTATGCTTTCCAGTCAGATATGCACTTTGGTATAATATGGGATGCAGCTACATAGGAACGCCTTTGAGAAGCATATTGAGCTTCAAAGCTACGGAGTATACCAACTACCTGTGCTATATGGAGAGATGTATGGTGCTTAAACTGGGTTAGTATGACCTCTAACACTAGAGGAGACCCTGGACTGAAGGAAAATAGAGCTGGCAGGCGGACACCTAGTTCAACACACACACCCAGGATACGTAACTACTACAGCCATTGGTGAGGCTGGAAAGGGAGTGGCTCCTATTGTAAACATCAGCGGAGATTGAAACTCGAGCTTCATTCAAATGCTCTCCCTGGAAGGAATTGTTAGCCCTGTGTGTACCCATGTCACTGGCAGGACAGTTGATCTGTGGTCGTTTAGTGTTACTGGTATCTTAACAAGTCAAGCCCGTATATACAAAATAAGACACTCTGTCAAGGTTTGGCTAGGTGCTCTATATTACGTTTACTCGAGCATACTTTAGACATAGGTGGTTCAGTATCATGTAACTCTTAACAAAGTAGTTCTATAGATTATATCACTGGGGAAGGATTGTTAGCCTATAGGACTGTCTGGTGTATCAAATTTAACCGCAGTATGTCTGCAAAGTTATTAGCATTCTTTAGACATATGAGGTCCATTTTATGCTGGGATATATAGAAGTTTCCTCATGGCTACATGTTTAACTATAACATGTCTGCATCGCTTAGGTTTAATGTATTTACCCCCCATAGACTATGTACAGCATGTCTGCATAGTCTGGGCATTTTTGTTAAAATATTACGTTGGAGAATCTGTGGCTGTTGGGTTTATGTTTGTACACACTGTTAATGAACCATTTATGGGGCAGTTAGAAAACTGAGCTATCACAAGGGAGATGACTGTTACTCTATATGAAGGTGTGGTGCATGCAAAGATTAATTTTAACTTGTCTGCAATGTCATTATAGCACTTGGGTGGAGTAGTATCATGTTGCCAGATAAGGAAAAAATACATTTTTACCGAATCAAAGGAGTATCTATACATGAGTGGGAGTGGCAGTAGCAAAAGCTAAACACCCATCCTTTCACAACCCATGGAGATTTTATCTGCTCATTTTACTCCCTATTTTCAAACAAAGTCTTATCAATACATCACTTCCTGGATACCAAAATTGAATTACTACGATGTAATTAGAGAATAATATGCCTCACACTGGGAGGTGGGCCACAGACTTCTATGACCCTTTGTATCGCTGTTGCTTGATCCTCATGGGCAAGCTCCTGCAAAAAATATTATCACCCAGTAAAATTTATCAGGCGGGAGTTGTTTTTTTTTTACAGTTTTGCATGTCTCCCTGCAATCTCCTTCTTGAGCTCTGTCGCAGCAGTAGTAGTCTGTGGGAGCAGAGTATGCACGATGAATACACTGCGAAGTTTTTAAGGAAAAACATCTGGTTTCTAGTGAAATTGTCTCTGCGAAAATAGCCAAATTTCTTAGTTGTCTCTGATTCATACATACTACACACACATAAAGTTAAAACGTGCTTGAAAAATATTTGTGTGCGAAAATTCTCACTAGCTTCGGTTGTCACTTCAGTCATAACTGTTGGTGTCAGCTCAGCTGCCGAGGAAAAGAATTATAAATGTGCAATACACCACAGTACAAGTTACGTCCTGTGTGGCAATAGGCTCAATTATTTGCAGTTGTGTTAAGTCTACAGGTAATGTAATCGAACAAGTAATTTATACGTCACAAACTTATTGCTGCTGCGGGAGCTGTTGTCAGGTTGATACAGGCCCAGAGTTGGAGCTGCGATCAAGAGAGAGAGAGAGAGAGAGAGAGAGAGAAACTAGTGAAATTTCGCACACAGCATTCACATAATTAGATCGCTAGACTTACATAAGAAGAAGAGCAAGCACGTGTCAGGTTCTGGAACTGACTGGAGCTCAGGTGCAGAAGGTCTGGTGTCTCTGTAAAGAGCTGCGCACAAAAAAGCAACAGTCTTCGCACACCACGAAAACATCTCATTGCTCATTAACACTACAAACAAGAAGTTTTCAACACATCTTAAGGGCATCTGAGTACAGTAGCAAGCAACAGAGTGCATACAGGGAGAAAACAGTGGAGAGTTGTAGTCTTGTTGTCTATGTCAATGGTCTCCATAGATAGTCCTTGGACCTGAGAGTGTTTCTTGCCTTGTGTGTTGAGCAACTCGGGCTAACAACAGTTGGAATCTGGGGAGGTGTTTGGTTTTAATGGAACCCCTCTCTAAGGACAACCCTGAAATGAGGAAACCTCTCTAATAGGAACTCCTCTTGAACAGTTCTTGCATGCAATTTAACTCTTGAAATTAGGACACCTCTTCATTAGTGGCACTTTCTTTTGACCAAATTACATCTAGATTAGAGGGGTTAGCTAACCACTGGTTCATCTATAGCACTAGGGCACAAGATAAACTCTGGGTTTTAGCCAACTGTGAGAGACAGGCGGGGCAAGATCTAGCACACCAGAGCGGCTTGAATCTGTTTGAAATTGAGTGTCCATTTCCTAGTTAACAGCCCACCATCAAGAAATTCCTGTCAGTTATGTGCAAACTTAGACTAAACTTACAAGGTGTGATAGGAGGGACCCCACATACCAGTTTATATAGGGAATTCTGGATACATTATATATGAGTTCCAAGTGCCAGGTTTGTGGGTGTACGTCTGCTCATGGAATTAGGACAACTCCCATTATTAGTGCAATTATTAGGCCCATATATCACATGCTTCACAATAGCATCAGAGCACTTACTCAGCAGTCAAGGAAGAATTAAACTCCGGTAGGTATGCTATACGGCATGGTATTTGAAAAGTGGGCGTTTAAAGTATGCTTATATCAGACTGTTTATGGGAAGCACCTAATAATCATGCAACAGTCAAGGAATAATTAAAACTCTTAACTGGCGGTAGGTATGTTTATGCTGTTACCACGTGGTATTAGAAACTCAAAAAGCGGGGGAGAGTTAATCTATAGTTACAGTATGCTTATGTCAGAGTGGTTATGGGGAGCACCCTATAATCAATGAACAACTAACGAAGATTCAAACTCTGCACCGGTGTGTGTTTTTAAGGCTCGGAATTTGAAATTTGAAATTGTCTTAAGTGGGCGTTGATGATTTATTGGGTGCACGAGTTAGCCCATGGGCCAAACTGGAAGCTAGCTGCAGACACTCAAGGTTACGCTGTCACCCAATTCGGCAGCGCCCACTTCAAAGTGAAGTTAATCAACTCAAGTGTCTACAGTTGTCCGCACCCTGCGGGGGGAAATTGTCGCCGATTCCCAATGCCTTTGCCTCAGTCTTTACGGATAGTGACGCAAGTCACAAAACGTGAGAGCGAAATTCACTAGGATGTGCCAGGAAGCAAAGCAAGAATGAATACAGACATATATACCCAGTTGATCCAAAAACTATTACCTACTACGTACGTATGTATGCAGGTCAACTAAAAGTGTTCTCTGTTAAGCCCAGACGTTGTCTGAGAAAGCGTACAGTGTAAGATGGCAATAGGAAACCAGAGCTCTATTTGCTCTATTGCTGATGAGAGACATAATTTCTCAAGTTTCAGCCCAGGTACTACTCTCCCTTACAAAAGGTGTGGCCAGCTTCCATTGAAACTCCGTGACCGCCAACTTTGTGCAGTACATGTACATGTCAATCCTGATAAAATGTAGTACGGTAGCTATAGCAAGGGTGGAGGGGGTTGCTATTGTGAATCTGGGAAACATCATACAAATGAAACACTCTGTATGGTAAACTTAAAGGTGAGATCCAAACGGAAGAAAACAGCACAATTAATAGGCAGTAGAGAGAAATGAGGATATTTGTTCTATGTTCAACTGGACAAGAGTGAACACCTTTCAAAGCCTTTTCACCCTGTGTTATGATGTAGTGGACCTATAGCTTTAGCCCCAAGCCATTCATTTGCAGGAACAACTATTACAAGTAAACATCAAGGACTTGTGGTGTATATTATTGCACATGGGTTGCATCAATTGCACTGAAATAATCTTTATACACAGCAAGTACTATACCCATTTTTCATTAGGATGCATTGCTAAAAAGTCTTCATATAGTGCTCAGCTCTCTTGCACCTTTCCGACACAAAAAGCACGGGAATAGGTATAGGTAACATCATCCATTATTACAGCCAGTGTGGTATATACTGGCTAGGAGAAAACCCAACAATGGCAAGGATTATACATACATGAGATCGAGACTAGTGGTAAATACCGAGACATCACCCATGCACCGCTATTCAATCCCTGAGAAAAGGGACAAACACACACACACAAAGGCAAACTATAGCCTGCAGACATAGCATATATACTGCACTGCTATGCAGAGAGTTGTTTCGAGACATGCCACGAATATACACATAAAACAGAGCAGGACAGATTATTATTATATAGCAGGCATCCAACTGTGTGTTTGCAACTGAGTTAGCTACCATGACTTCAGTCAACACACTACACGACAGTTTGTGTGCACTGGTTTGCAAGGTGATAATTGGAGGGAAGGGGTGAGAGAGAGAAGGGAAACTTACTGCCGTGCAAATACTGTGACAGAGCTGATCCGAGTTAGCGTTGCTGCAGCAAGCCAGCAGATCTGTATAGGCAGGTAATAAGGCAATATGGCAGCTGGAGCTAACGATACCAAAATGAACCGTGCGGAGATGCGCCTGAGAAACAATAGCTGCAAGAGTTTGTTGCCATTACCAATAATTAGCACATAATTACCTGGCCTAGCGACGCGGAGGAGGGCAGCGAGCAAGAAAAGCAAGTTCCCGACACCCATTGTCAGGTGTAACAGTCACAGCTCTCCCCTCGGGATTTTTGCAGTAACGATCGACCTATTACGGTCGAATATCCGAAGAGAAAACGAAGGAGTAGACGAATCTTTTCGCAGTTGAAACTCTGCTCAACAGCGCTTCTGCACTGCATCATCAATCGATCCGCTTTTATACTGCAGTGCGCGTCGTGGTTTGCACATGCGCAATCAAAGCGCACCGCCCCCACGCACACCGCAGACGCACGCATCAACCCAAATAAACATATATACCACAGATTTCCTTCTACAATAGCAGACAAAAAACTAAATCTTTAGGATGGCCAGTTGAAAAGAGTACAAGTGTTTCTGTATATCTGCTCCGCAACTTGAGACGACGGCTTCTCGTGCAGTGCTGACACAACTTCTAAAACTTGTCTGCAGTGCAAATTCAGTATGCAAAAATGGAAATAATTGTATGTATGCTAATTGTTCCTATATACACACACACCAGTGTCATACGAAACTAGACACTTCGAAAGGGAGGACAAATTGCAACTTTGTCTGCGACAGAAAAGGCAAAACAAATTGCTCGTTGAAGAGCCGGTCAGAGAGACAGCAAACTGTGTAGGGGAGGGGGTTAGGAGACCTACCACACAGTCGGTTACTCCGCCCAAGATGTCAATGTATCGCTCTATAAATGCTACCAGAAACACTTGAGAAGGTGTCAAGTTTTATGCTAAGGCTGGTTCTCTATTATAAGCAATACTTGTCCACCTATTATGGCAGTTTTTTTATCAGCCATATTGTCACAGAGGAAACGGACATGTTTTCCAGCCCAGTATATAGGGACCCCATAAGGTAGCCGCCACCACAATCGGGACCAATTCTTTTGGAGCAATGGAAACTGCAGTAACTACTCTTGTTACCGGTTGTATTACAATCATACATGATGTTTCTAGGTTCATTGCGGCCCTTTATGCTGGTTCCTTGCTCCCATTTCTCCTTCTTTTTGCTGGAAAACTGCGTCCGAACATACTCGTAGCTGGTGTGTGAAGGCCTTATGTCACACCAAGGGGCATCTGTGAGAATTGCAGCATTTTAGCAGAGATATAGGCTCTTATATAAAGCCACCATTTTGTGATCGTTGCTCAGTGCTTACCAGTTTCTATCATTAGCTTCTCTAGAGGCAGTCGTTTCACGACTGCAAGATTTTCTTCTGTTTTCAGCGAACTGTGACGTAAAAAGGTATTATGGTTGAATTGTTGGCAGAATTTCCCCTATACCATCCGTTTATTCCCATGTATAGGCCGAAGTCAATGGCCGTCAGCGCTTCTTCCAACGTCCCGTCGAAAGAGTGCACCTAGAAAATACCGAAAATTTCGATGCTGTCCGTAGCGCGCACTGATGGTTCAGTGGTAGAATTCTCGCCTGCCACGCGGGAGGCCCGGGTTCGATTCCCGGTCAGTGCATCTTTTTTTTTTTCCCCCCCAGTTTAAAGATTTTACCACGTTTTTATTTGCAGTTTTACAGTAGGGCTTACCACTCCTCCAACAATCATCTCTTTGTTTTTTTCTAAAATCCCTGCAAAAAAGTTAAGGTGCAGCCTTATTTATTAACTTCAACTTCTTACCCATGAATTCTGGAAATGCATTTCTACAGTGCAGAAAGAGGGGAAGGCCTGTTTTCTTAGATAGTATTAGTTGCTTTTCAAAATACCTGCATTGTTAAAAGAATTGTTAAAGACGTCATTAGTACATGCAGCCTTTTACTTACTGGAGTTGAACATCCTTGGGGCAAAACTGAAGCCGTTCAAAATCTGCAGGTTAGAGCACACCAGAAGGGAAAATATTGCTATAAGCATATCCAGAAATATCAGGTATTACCCTTCTGATAAGATACCATGTTTACAAATTCCAAGGAATTAATGACAGTGCAAAAATGCACAAGTGTCGCGACTCAGGCTGCTATTGGTGGTGCGGAAATGAGCCCCACCTCGACATTAATCGATTCTGCTTGCACTTAAAGGAGAGATGTTGCCACAAGCTCCAACCACACAACACCACGGGAGTTGGCCGCCGGGCATGCTCAAATCAAATCAGACACACCATAGCCCCACAAGTCGGTAACACGATACGAAAACATCACCGCCCTAATCGCATTTCATCTTAAAGTGGCTGCTTGTCGGTGAGAACGAAGTGGCTGAATAATACGATTCAACAACCAACTTGGAATTGTCCCCGGATCTCACCTAGTCCGCATTCGCCTATGGCAACAACTTTGGCTCGGGTCGAGGTGGCGAGGACAAGCAGCTCCTCTTGATATCTGTCTGGGTCTCCTTCACAGCCATTGTTTGGGTCAGTAAACAGTGAGCAGTAGGTTGGATGGACGCCAACTGTACAGTACAGCCTGTCTGCAGGAAATATATATGGTCAGCTCAGTAGAACTGGGTACAGAATTTTAAGTGCGACAATGGGGGTTTCTGCAGGTCTCTAGCTCACCATCTATTCTGGCGAGATCTAGAGCCTGTCTGCTTTGCTCCAAGTTTCCACCAGTCACAATGATCTACACACACACGTCTGATATATGATAATACTATACACACACACATACTGAATCCTATTCACAGTCTGCAATGTGCTGTCGGTACAAATAGCACCTTTTCACCTTTTCAAGTCCGACGTCAAATGCCCTGTCCAGTACACCAGTCAAATCAGCTACACAACAGAAGCCACCATGTATAACTAAGCACTGTGGTATGCAGCATGCACGTGGGGACCTTTGTGGGCTTGCTTCCCGTGGTAAATGCCTCGAAACATTGCATCTGAATCACACGAATGCACCAGCTAATGAGTCTACTGACCAATGAATGAACCGAAACAACCTGTTAGATTTGCTCCTATATCTGTGCGGAGAGAAAGCATGAATGGATCATTGAGGGGTGTGTTGTAGTATGTACCAATCAGCTTCAGCCTTTTGGTCGACGACATCCTCAGAGCGCCACTGAGCATACTCCGTTCCGTTCCAAGCCGTTGCGCGCATGCTCAAACCCGCGTCACATGATCGTCGAGCGAGCCACTCCTTGCTTCTTTTCCAGCATCCATCTACAAGTGTCTTGTTGTCCCTCAGACTCGACGAAGATGGGTCGATTTCAGCTAAATGTCTGTTGCCTGGCCATTCTCTGCCTTCCTCTTGCTCTCTGCGGGCCGCTAGGTGTGCAGTTTCGCAAGCACAAGGCGATATACCGAGAAAGCATCCCAGGAACTACTACTGATTCGGATCCCGGTCAGCCGCTCTTTTTGACTCCGTACATCGAGAAAGGAGAAATCGACCAAGGTAAAGTTTTGCAGGTTAGTTCTGCTGCGCATAACGGTATCAAATCCGAGAGAAAACCCTGGAGTTTTTATCTGTGACTGAAATTTGCATACTATTTTGCAACAGCACGTGAGTTGAGCAAGGTGCCTACCATCCAAGGCCTGGACAGCTATTCAGGTGCAGTTTTTATTGCATGTATCAGTGCACCTTTTCACCACTCTTTTGATGCATTCAGCTTTCCACACACACCTGTGTGTGTGACTAGTTTACACTATTTACCAGCTCCCTATACCTCATAGTCCATGGAAAATATTTTATGGATAGCTATTATATCTCAAAAATATTGTGGGCTAGGATCCATTTTTGTAGTTAGACAAGTCGAAATATTATAGCTAGCTTGATTTGCAAAAAGTATCCCCGATAAAAAATTTCGCTTTAAGTACTGCAGTGGCTAGTGTTTTGGTATGTCGTCATTTGCAACAGGTTTCTTCACAGTCAATGCCAGCTCCAATGGAAACATGTTCTTCTGGTTCTTTCCGTCTCAGGTCAGCAATACTGTATACATTTCCCATACCTATCTATGTTCACACGGTGTGGAAACCCTCTGCAAGGGCACCCCAGAACACCTCCCTAATAATACACCTTTCCGTTCCCCAAGAACATTTTTGCGTAAGGACGCCTTGCTAATATGGACACTTTCTATTGTCCCATTGGTGTTCAGATTAGTGGGGTTCCACTGTATAAATCAAACTCACTTATTAAATTTGCCATTTCATAACCCTGTTATATACATTTTTCACTCGTGGTGTGGACTGTAAATTTGTGTTGTGCTAACTTATTGTACTGGTCTCTCTTCTATGAGAAACTGTTTTTTTTTCTTCGACAGAGCGGCCAGACGAGTGCACCGCTGTTGCTATGGCTACAGGGTGGACCGGGTGGATCGTCTCTGTTCGGACTGTTTGTTGAGAACGGTCCGCTCTATGTGGCTAAGAACGGCAGCGGTGAGAGTTAGTAAACTCGTGCGAAGTGCAATTTTACGTGCCATACTTTTATGTGATCATCATTATACAGTGGAACCCCACTAATCTGAACACCAATGGGACAGTAGAAAGTGTCCATATTAGCAAGGCATCCTCACGCAATAATGTTCTTGGGGAACGAAAAGGTGTATTATTAGGGAGGTGTCCTCCCTGTCAGAATGTAAGAGAATGCCCGAAAGAGGCAGTTACCATCTCCCTGTACGCGTCTCACACTATACGCATGTCTGGACGTGTGAGGGGCTGGGGGGTGTCCTTGCAGAGGGGTTCCACTGTATACCTATGTTCTCTAGTTGTACTATCATCTACAGGACATGTGTAGGAAAAGAACATTGATTACTTTCACCATGTTTTTGACTGTACCCGATCCCATTATGGACAGGACTAAACTGATGTCCTCTCGTTATCTTACACAGTGTTCAGAAGGGACATTACTTGGAACAAAGAGTACCATATGCTGTACATTGATAACCCCGTGAGTCACTGTGACAATGTATTTGAGCCGTCACGGTTTTTACCATATCAAATTTCTACGCTGTACAAGTTAAGTGTAGACCCAGACTTACAGAGCCAATCTCAACAATTATTGTATAGTGTTTATATATAAGACCAAATATTTATTAGGATGAGATTTGTTGGAGTGCTAAATATTAGAGGATTATTTGTGAAAACTGAGAATATTACGCGCTTCTAAAACTTGGCAATCTATAGTTGTCGCCGCGTGCATTTTTCATGCACATTTGTTGTATACACAATTATGTAGGTTGGAACTGGTTTCAGTTTCACTAACGAGAGTGGAGGATATAGCGTGGACGAAACGCAAGTCGGAATAAATCTCTACAGCGCTCTGACACAGTTCTTCACCGTGTATTCCGAATACCTAGACAGCGACTTTTACGTCACTGGAGAGGTCAGTCAGGGTTAAACTTTTCCATGGTTTGGTAAGGGTTAAACTATTCCAGAGTGTGGGGGAGGGGAGGGGAGGGGAGGGGAGTGCAGTTACAAGAATTGAGGGGTAGGGGTTAAGTTTTATGGGCGATTAAGGCAGAATAGAGCCATTATAAGGGGTACTTCCCTAACAATTATAGAAGGAGGAGTAAATATTATACCTAAACAGGGACAATTGGGATTCATTCGAAACATATACACTATATAGGCACTGAATAGAGAAGTCTATATCATAAGGCGGGTTAACATCACTATTATGTGTGCGTTTTGCTCACTACAGTCGTATGCAGGGAAGTATGTACCGGCCATAGCATACAAGATCCACCAGGAGAACCAGGGAACACCGAAAGTGAAAATCAACCTCAGGGGGGTTGCTATTGGAGACGGACTGGTCGACCCTGTCAACGTGAGTATGAACATTCAGAATTGCCAACGTTGAAATTGTCACCGCATCTTCCCACTCCGTGATATGCAACACTATCCTGAATACTAGTTGGCGAGGAAAGTGAGCAGTTTAATTCTTCATGCGTTTTCATGTGGATCTGCGCAATCACGTATATACAGCATTACGTGCGTGCAGACGTTGCACAGAAATTATGAATCACACATTTAGACGACCAGGAAGGCTCGCTTTTCTTGCCAATCAAAAGTACATTATACACAGCACTACCAGACCAGAGCTAACATTACGTCAATTTGTATTCGTAGGCTCACCTTGCCTGCCAATACACATTGCTATCGATAATTATACTGTATACTGTGCTCTATAAAGATTTTATACTGTATACTGTGCTCTATACAGGTGTTATACTGTATACTGTGCTCTATACAGATGTTATACTGTATACTGTGCTCTATACAGATGTTCAATGGGTATGGAGATCTAGTGTTCCAGTTTGGAATGGTGGACGAAATGAAAAAGCTTACATCGACAATCACACGCAGAAAGGAGTTGACTTCATGAAAAACAAAGACTTCTACGACGCCTTTCTGGTAAAAAATTAGACAGGCAACCAAAATGTTTGAGACAGGCAACTGCAAATAATTATGTATAGACAGCCAACAAAATTTTTGGAGGCACTGGACAAGTTTTTGAGCCACCACAAAATTTTATTTCCAGGTTTTTGATGAGCTGATGAATGGGGATATTTACCCCTACCCGACCTATTTTTACAATGTGACCGGAGTGACGGACTACTACAACATCCTGAGAACCAGTGAGCCGGAGGAATACAACTACTTCGTCCCGTACATCAACAATAGCAGTACGCGAGCTGATATCCACGTCGGTAATCTCAGCTATGGAGCCCACGGAACCGACGTCGAGCTCCATTTGATAAATGTAAACCTTTCGCTAACGTAAACCTTTAGCTAATGGTGATTGCTACAGTGGAACCTCCGAACAATGACCCTCCGAATAAAGGACACCTCTCTATAAAGGACGCTTGGTTCTGCCCCATACTAATACATAGGGACACCTCTCTATAAAGGACACTTGGTTCTGCCCCATACTAATACATAGGGACACCTCTCTATAAAGGACACTTGGTTCTGCCCCATACTAATACATAGGGACACCTCTCTATAAAGGACACTTGGTTCTGCCCCATACTAATACATAGGGACACCTCTCTATAAAGGACGCTTGGGTTCTGCCCCATACTAATACATAGGGACACCTCTCTATAAAGGACGCTTGGTTCTGCCCCATACTAACATAGGGACACCTCTCTATAAAGGACACTTGGTTCTGCCCCATACTAACATAGGGACACCTCTCTATAAAGGACACTTGGTTCTGCCCCATACTAATACATAGGGACACCTCTCTATAAAGGACACTTGGTTCTGCCCCATACTAATACATAGGGACACCTCTCTATAAAGGACACTTGGTTCTGCCCCATACTAATACACAGGGACACCTCTCTATAAAGGACACTTGGTTCTGCCCCATACTAATACATAGGGACACCTCTCTATAAAGGACGCTTGGTTCTGCCCCATACTAATACATAGGGACACCTCTCTATAAAGGACACTTGGTTCGTCTGCCCCATACTAATACATAGGGACACCTCTCTATAAAGGACACTTGGTTCTGCCCCATACTAATACATAGGGACACCTCTCTATAAAGGACACTTGGTTCTGCCCCATACTAATACATAGGGACACCTCTCTATAAAGGACACTTGGTTCTGCCCCATACTAATACATAGGGACACCTCTCTATAAGGACACTTGGTTCTGCCCCATACTAATACATAGGGACACCTCTCTAAAGGACACTTGGTTCTGCCCCATACTAATACATAGGGACAACCTCTCTATAAAGGACACTGGTTCTGCCCCCATACTAATACATAGGGACACCTCTCTATAAAGGACACTTGGTTCTGCCCCATACTAATACATAGGGACACCTCTCTATAAAGGACACTTGGTTCTGCCCCATACTAATACATAGGGACACCTCTCTATAAAGGACACTTGGTTCTGCCCCCATACTAATACATAGGGACACCCTCTCTATAAAGGACACTTGGTCTCTGCCCCATACTAATACATAGGGACACCTCTCTATAAGGACACTTGGTTCTGCCCCATACTAATACATAGGGACACCTCTCTATAAGGACACTTGGTTCTGCCCCATACTAATACATAGGGACACCTCTCTATAAAGACACTTGGTTCTGCCCCATACTAATACATAGGGACAAACCTCTCTATAAGGACACTTGGTTCTGCCCCATACTAATACATAGGGACACCTCTCTATAAAGGACACTTGGTTCTGCCCCATACTAATACATAGGGACACCTCTCTATAAAGGACACTTGGTTCTGCCCCATACTAATACATAGGGACACACCTCTCTATAAAGGACGACTTGGTTCTGCCCCATACTAATACATAGGGACACCTCTCTATAAAGGACACTTGGTTCTGCCCCATACTAATACATAGGGACACCTCTCTATAAAGGACACTTGGTTCTGCCCCAGTACTAATACATAGGGACAACCTCTCTATAAAGGACACTTGGTTCTGCCCCGTACTAATCATAGGGACACCTCTCTATAAAGGACACTTGGTTCTGCCCCATACTAATACATAGGGACACCTCTCTATAAAGGACCTTGGTTCTACTATACAAGGACAACCTCTCTATAAAG